TATCTTGTTTCTTAATTGTGATTCTGTGACAGATAAGGCATAGGATTTTGCCATTAACAACTAAAGCACAAGCCCCTTCAGAATTTCCTACCAAACTTCTTTTTGCTTTACTCTTAAGAGATATTCAGGATTACTGTATTCTCAAATTGCATTTTCCCTTTTGGCATGCCTGCTAAGGTTTTGTATACCCAGAGAAATGCCCTATAATAAGACTAGGATGTTTGAGAAAAATGTTTTACTTTGGTCAAGTGGGAGAAAATTGTGAAAAAGAGTTGGCTAAGGAAAATTTGCAAGACACACACTTGTTCTCAGGCAAATCAATTTTAGGAAAGAATACACATGGCTTCCCTGCTGGCTCACTGGTAGTCTACCTGCCAGTGCAGGAGGTGGGGTTTCAATCACTGATTTGAAAAGATCCCCTGCAGAAGGAAATGGCACCCCACTCCAGTGTTCTTGTCTGGGAAATCCCATGGACAGAGAAGCCTGCTGGGGTCCATGGAGCTGCAAAAGAGTGGAACACGACTTAGCATCTAAACAACAATACATGGGAAGTGAAGGTTTGCTGAGTGATAGGCCTTTAGACCTCTTTCTGTGCGGCAGACCCTTAAACAGTCTAATGAAACCTGTGGACCTGTTCTCAGAGGAACATTTCTCGCAGCTTGTCAGTTTCTTTCTACAAAGGCCTCTGGGATTCTGATTGGGTTGCATCGAGTCTATAGATTGATGGGGAAAATTGACAATATCTTAACAATATTGTACAAACGATATTGTCTGTACAACTTTTTCCATTTAAGTCGTCTTCAGTTTTTCACAGAAAATGTTATTTTCATTGTGCAAGTCTTTGTATCTTTTTTAAGCCTTTGTATCTTGTTAAATTTATTCATAAGTATTTTGTGTCCTTGAAATGCTATTTTTTCAATTTGCTGTATTTATTTGCATCAGTGTTTGTCTTTTAAATTTTTTACTTTGCATGTCAACTTTTTTTTTAGTTCCTTAATTTTTTAAATTGAAGTATGTTTGATTTACAGTGTTCAGTTTCAAGCATACACCAAAGTGATTCAGTTATGCATGCATACATACATATATGTATTTTCTTTTCCAGGTCATTTTCCATTATAAGTTACTACAAGATACTTTCTCATAGGCCTAGGCTCCCAGGAAATCACTGCTTTTACCCTTGGTTTCAGTGCTTGTGAGATTTTTGTGTGCATCCTTTAAGAGTGAAGTCTGTGGAACTCCCATGGCTAAGCCCAGCTGGCCTTCAAAGCCAAATGCTCTGGGGGTTCCTCCTCCCAGGGTGCCTGATGTGGGGCTCAGAACTCACTCCTGTGAGAGAACCTCTATAATAAAATTTTTCTCTAGTTTGTGGGAAAATATCTCGTATCCTGGGGGAGTAGGAGATTTGATTATATCGTGAGTCCACTCCTCTTACCCATCTTGTGGTTCTGTCTTTATGTCCTTAGTTGTAGAGGATCTTTTCTGGTAAATTTCAGTCCTTTTCAGTGGATTGTTTTGATTTTTTTGTGCTCAAGAGAGGAGATGAGCTTAGATTCCTTCTATTCCACCATCTTGGCCATTCCTCCCTTCAAAATGGTAATTTTGAAATTTCCATGATCAGTTGTCTGTTTCTAAAATATAAAAGTAGTCTTTTCAAAAAAGTATTTTCATATTCTGCCTTCATGCTAACTTACATATTAATTCCAGTAGCTGTTTTTGTGGATTACTTCTGACTTTCTTGTGTATGATCATGTTATTGAGAATAAAGAATGTTACTTCTTCTCTTCCTTCATGTAGATATTTAAAGATACTGTTTATCAGGTTGAGGAATCTCCTTTCTGTTCTTAGTTTGCTGAGAGTTTTTATACTGAATGAGTATTGACTTTTGTCAAAAAAATTTTTCTGCCTTAACCTAGTTATTGTTGTTCAGTAACTCAGTTGTGTCCGAATGTTTGCAGCCCCATGGAGTGCAGCTTGCCAGGCTTCTGTATCTTCACTATCTCACTGAGTTTGTTCAAACTCATGTCCATTGAGTCGATGATGCCATCCAACTATCTCATTCTCTGTTGCCCCCTTCTCCTCCTGCCCTCATTCTTTCCTAGCATCAGGGTCTTTTCCAGAGAGTCTGCTCTTCGCAAATAGTGGCCAAATTACTGGAGCTTCAGCTTTAACATCAGTCCTTCCAATGAATATTAAGGGTTGATTTCCTTTAGGATTAGCTGGTTTGATCTCCTTGCTGTCCAAGGGACTCTTAAAAGAGTCTTCTCCAGCACACAGTTGGAAAGCATCAATTCTTCAGCGCTCAGCTTCTTTATGGTCCACCTCTCACATCCACACACGACTACTGGAAAACCATAATTTTGACTATATGGAGCTTTGTCGACATAGTGATGTCTCTGCTTTGTAATATGCTGTCTAGGTTTGTTGTAACTTTTCTTCCAAGGATGGAGTGTCTTTTAATTTCTTGACTGCAGTCACCCCATACTCAGCAGTCAACCCCTCTAAGCCAGGAGTTCTGTTTGTGGTAAGAGCTGTAGTTATGAAATGCATTTCTTTTACTGGGTTGGCCAGAAAGGTCATTTGGGTTTTTCCTGTAACATCTTACAGGAAATATAGGGTTATGCTGACTTTCTCTTCAGTTATGGTAGTTGCACCTTCCAAAGAATTTTTTTCACTTTATCCAAGTTGTTGAATTAATTGGCTGGCATAAGATTATCCATAATATAATACCTGATTGATTCAGAATCTATAGAATCTGTAAGGGATTAGCATCTGCAGGATTTCCTCTATTTATAATACTGGTCATTTATGTTTTTAAAAGTTTTCTTAATGTAATTAGAGATTTATCTTAAAGAAGTGTGTGGCTTCATTGCGTTTCTTTTTCATTTCTCATTAAATTAAATTCAGTCTGTTCCATTGAAGTCTATTGTTTATTTTCTTCTATCTATTTTTAAAATTTATTTTGAGTTTAATTCTCTCCTTTTTTCTGACTTCCTAAGTTGGAAGCTTATACCATTGATTTTGGAATTTTTTTCCCCTAATATAAACATTTAAAGCTATGAATTTCCTATAAGGCATGCTTTGCCTACATACCACAGATTTCTCAATTTCATTTCATTTCATTCATTCATTTCCAGATATTTTAAAATTTTTTCTGTGATTTATTTTTTAACCCTTGAGTATTTAGAAGTGTTGTTTAATTTCCAGGTATTTGCATTTTTCTAGATATTTATCTTTCACTGACTTCTAGCTTAATTTCATTGTCCTTGTTGAACATATTTTATATTATTCCAGTAGTTTCACTCATTTGAGACTTGCTTTATGGTCCAGCATATAGTCTATCTTAGTGCATATACCATGTACATATGAAAACAAAATGCATTCTGCTTTTGTTGAGTGGAGTGTTTTAGGTTAGGTTACTTGCTTTGTTGTTGTTGTTAAGTTGCTAAGTTGTGTCCTGCTCTTTTGTGACCCCATGGACTATAGCCCACCAGGCTCCTCTGTCCATGGGAAGAACTGTCCAGGCAAGAATACTGTAATGGGTTGCCATTTCCTTTCTCCAAGGGATCTTCCCGACCCAGGGACCGAACCCACATCTCCAGTGTTCAGGACTTCTACGTCCTTACTGATTTTCTGTCTTTTTGGTCTTTCTGTCCATCAGCCACTAAGAACGGATCTGTGAAGTCTCCAGCTACACTTGAAGCTTGTCTGTTTCTTCCTTCAATTCTATTAGTTTTTGCTGCATTTATTTTGAAGCTCTCTTAGTTCAGTATGTACACATTTAGGATTGTTATATCTTCTTGAGAATTGACAACTTTGTCACTGTCAAGTGTCCCTCTTTGTCTTGAAGCCTGTTCTGTCTGTTATTAATAGAGCCACTCCAGCTAGGTATATTTTCACATTTTTAAACTTAGTTGCAGCATATGGGATTGAGTTCCCTGACCAGTGGAAGACCAAAGTCTTAACCAGTGAACTATCAGGGAAGTCCCCATTTTTAAACTTTTAAATCATCCTGTAAAGTGGGTTTATTGTAAACAATGTATAATTGAGTCTTGCTTTTTAAATCTAGTTTTATAGTCTCAGTCATTTAACAGGGCTTTAAATCATTTACATCTAATATAGTTATTTATATGGTCGGATTTAACTCTACTATCTTGTTACTTATTTTCTATTTTTCACATTTGTTCTTTGTTTTTTCTTATTTTTTAAAAAATTAACTCAGTTTACTGAAGGTTCCATTTTATTTCCACTATTGGCTGTTTAGGTTTGTCTCTTTATTATTTTCGGTAGTGCTCTAAGGTCTATAATATGTCTTTAATGTGCCACAGTCTAACTTCAAATGATATTATACTACCTCACATATAAGAATATTTCAAAAATATACTTTCACTTCCCCTGTCTTATCCTTGGTTTGTCTTGTCATATTTTTACTTTTACATATAAGTGTGATACAGTTTTGCTATTTTTGCTTTAAATGATTAGCTATCTTTTAAAGATAATGTAAGATAAGTTTTTTGTATACTTGAATAATTTTTACTTTTGGAGTCCTCTGTTCCTTTTGTAGATTCAGATTTCCATCTGGTATAGTTTAGTATAACAGTAGAGCCTTTCAGGTTTTGTATAGTTATTTTTACTGAGAAGAAAGATTCAGACCCTCTGTACCACTTCAAGTCTTAAAGGGTCTTATAATATGTACCATTGTTATATAGTTGAGCAACATTCACGTTAGTGTCAAGTGTGACTGTGTCTTTTCTCGTATTAGTCTGTGACAGTTAAGGTTGAAGCACAGTTTGGCTCCTAGACTCAAGTATATTGGGTTCTCTGAAGGCAAAACTTTTTAGCATATAACTTTGTCTCTATAGGATTGTTTTGCTTGTTGTCTGGAGTATATTAAACTTTCAAAGTAAGTAATGAATAAGTGCTTAAAGGAATAAGAACCAATGATCACTGCTCTCCTGTACTTCTGTGTTTCTAGGTAACTATAACTACCCAGAACTGCAGCCATGGAGTCCATGCTAAATAAGTTGAAGAGTACCGTTACAAAAGTAACAGCTGACGTCACTAGTGCTGTGATGGGAAATCCTGTCACTAGAGAATTTGATGTTGGTCGACACATTGCCAGTGGTGGCAATGGGCTAGCTTGGAAGATTTTTAATGGCACAAAAAAGTCAACAAAGCAGGTAAGTTTTAATTTAGAGTTCAGCTGGAAAAAAAACACACATGCTAATAATGACCATACTGTGCATGTATGCATTTTTATTTTAAGAAATGCTGAAAGTAATCGGTTCTTTAGTTGTCATTTCATTCATCTAAGGAAGTCATAGAAAAACCAATGCTTTTAAACATGCCCTTGAATGTCCTAGTTACAAATACATTATTTGATGTATCAGCTCATCTTGTGATTTAATTTTGTTTACTTAATAACATAAACATATCAGTTGAGCAAATGAGTGTATTAGATATTTAACAAAATGTTTTAGAATAAAAATTCCCATGTTCCTTTTATCTTTATCAATAAGTTATGACATACTACTCAGTTAAACTTTTCTAATGTTAAGTGCATTCTTTTTTTGAGCATTCTTACTTCCCTCTTTTCTTCTACAGCCTTCTAGAAAATAGACTTCTGTAATATTTTTTGATGTTTATTAACCTGGTAATTTTTACCGTCAAAGGGCAATACATTTGTGGGATGTAATCAGTAGTATATTTTGGGGTTTTGTTTTAAAGTTATTTTGAGGCCATTCTTTTAGTGAAGAGTAGTTTGAGTTGTATTTTTATTAATTTAAGAAACCAACAGATAGTTCTGAGAAATGTGGAGGATTGTTAAAATTTACTAATCACTTTCTTTTGGAATTTTTGAAGAATTGGAAAATCTCCAGGTTTAAAAACCTCTGTGGAAATACATTCTTTAAAAGGAAAAATTAGTTTCCAAAAGTACTTCACTTCCCTATATGTGAAACATATAGACTTTAAGACATGTGGGGTTTATTACACATATTTTCCAATGAGTATCAAAATTCTATAATTGTCTGTATGCATTATGACTTTTCCAAAATCAGATTATTCCCAAATAAGTATATTAAAGACTGACTTGGCTTTGGTTATCCTTTTATGAAGGAGGAGTCTTGGTCCTGTGATAGATTGATGGTATGTGGTTTGTTCAGTTCAGTTCAGTTCAGTCGCTCAGTCATGTCCGACTCTTTGCGACCCCATGAATCGCAGCACGCCAGGCCTCCCTGTCTACCAACTCCTGGAGTTTACTCAAACTCATGCCCATCAAGTTGGTGATGCCATCCAGCCATCTCATCCTCTGTCATCACCTTCTCCTCCTGCCCCCAATCCCTCCCAACATCAGGATCTTTTCCAATGAGTCAACTCTTCGCATCAGGTGGCCAAAGTACTGGAGTTTCAGCTTCAGCATCAGTCCTCCAATGAACACCCAGGACTCCTTTAGGATGGACTGGTTGGATCTCCTTGCAGTCCAAGGGACTCTCAAGAGTCTTCTCCAACACCACAGTTCAAAAGCATCAATTTTTTGGTGCTCAGCTTTCTTCACAGTCCAACTCTCACATCCATACATGACCACTGGAAAAACCATAGCCTTGACCAGACGGACCTTTGTTGGCAAAGTAATGTCTCTGCTTTTTAATATGCTATCTAGGTTGGTCACAACTTTACTTCCAAGGAGTAGGCGTCTTTTAATTTCATGGCTGCAGTCACCATCCGCAGTGATCCTGGAGCCCCAAAAAATAAAGTCTGACACTGTTTCCACTGTCTCCCCACCTGTTTCCGATGAGGTGATGGGACCAGATGCCATGATCTTAGTTTTCTGAATGTTAAGCTTTAAGCCAACGTTTTCACTTTCCCCTTTCACTTACATCAAGAGGCTTTTCAGTTCCTCTTCACTCTCTGCCATAAGGGTGGTGTCATCTACATATCTGAGGTGATTGATATTTCTTCCGGCAATCTTGATTCCAGCTTGTGCTTCTTCCAGCCCAACGTTTCTCATGATGTACTCTGCATTAAGTTAAATAAGCAGGGTGACAATATACAGCCTTGTCGTATTCCTTTTCCTATTTGGAACCAGTCTGTTATTCCATGTCCAGTTCTTTTTTTTTTCCATTTATTTTTATTAGTTGGAGGCTAATTACTTTACAACATTGCAGTGGTTTTTGTCATACATTGAAATGAATTAGCCATGGATTTACATGTATTCCCCATCCCGGTCCCCCCTCCCACCTCCCTCTCCACACGATCCCTCTGGGTCTTTCCAGTGCACCAGGCCCGAGCACTTGTCTCATGCATCCAACCTGGGCTGGTGATCTGTTTCACCCTAGATAATAGCCATGTCCAGTTCTAACTGTTGCTTCCTGACCTGCATACAGGTTTCTCAAGAGGCACGTCAGGTGGTCTGGTATTCCCATCTCTTTCAGAATTTTCCACAGTTTATTGTGATCCACACAGTCGAAGGCTTTGGTGTAGTCAATAAAGCAGAAATAGATGTTTTTCTGGAACTCTCTTGCTTTTTCGATGATCCAGCAGATATTGGCAATTTGATCTCTGGTTCCTCTGCCGTTTCTAAAACCAGCTTGAACATCTGGAAGTTCTCGGTTCACGTATTGCTAAAGCCTGGCTTGGAGAATTTTGAGCATTACTTTACTAGCATGTGAGTTGAGTGCATGTGGTTTGTACCTGACCTTAAATCTTGTGTTTATTGCCATTTGGTTGGAAGTCCTTAAGTCCAAAGTTGATCTGTACCTTAGATATTGATTGGTCATTTCTGAACATTGTTTTGACTTTCACCAGCAGCTCATCCCCAAAATAATTGTTCCTTGAGTATTGACTACTTAGAAAGCTATGAATGAGATCATGAAGTTATGTAAATGACCAACCTCTAATGCCATTACAAATTGCTTTTATAATCAGTTATATAAAGGAAAAGTGAAAGGATACCACATTTACTAAATTTTGCATTGTTTATTAAGAACACGATAACATAATAGTGTCTTTGTCCTTAATCAAAAGAGTTCAGGGTGTTTGTGTTTATTTCATTAGTTCATGTACTGAAACCCTCTGTTAATATTGAGGCTTCTGTTGTTGCCATAGAACGTGAGAACCAGGCACAAATAATAGATGATTGCTTAGATATTGCATGTTAATATAGCATTTCTCAGCAGCTGACTTTCAGAACTGAGTTCTCTTATGAAATGATACTGTTCTCCTTTTTTTTTCCCACAAAATTATTGCTTTGAGGAAAAAGGTAGTTTTAGAATATATCATTGCTGTCTATGGATATGATTTTGAATTTTCTTTCTTTGCCTCTTTCAAACCTCAGAGGTCAGAACTCTTGAGTATCCTGTCTGGAATGCTGACTGATTCCTTAAGGAAGAGCTGAGTGTCTAACCAGCTTGGCACTGAAACCTCATTTGAATTTCTTCTTTAATTGAAAAATGTTAATTCTTTTTTCAGTAGCCTCATATTTATTAAAAGAGAATCAGAGAAAATAATCTAGAGCTGTACTTAATGCAATATTGGTAGCCATATGATACGTATGACTTTTTCAGTTAATTAAAATTAAGATTAAATTTAGTTTTTCTGTTGTTGCACTGATTACATTTCAAATGCTGCATAGCCACATGTGGCTAGTATTACCATATTGGACAATGCAGGTATAGAACTTTCTATCGTCACAGAAAGTTCTATTGAGCAGTGCTGATTTTAGAGAAACTGGGGGAAAAATAATGGAAAAGGATACTCTTCTTTGTCCTTTTCTTTCCCCTTAAAGTGACATTGAAGCTGAAGGAATCTTGCCTACCCTCTCAGCTTAGCTTTACTTAGCATATAGTGTACTTGATTGTAGTTGTGCTTTATAGCAGAATGAAAGTGAAGTGAGCGTGTTAGTCACTCAGCCGTGTCCAGCTCTTTGTGACCCCATGGACTGTAGTCCTCACGGCTCCTCTGTCCCTGGGATTCTCCAGGCAAGATTACTGGCATGGGCTGCCATTCCCTTCTCCAGGGGATCTTCCCGACCCAGGGATTGAACCTGGGTCTCCCACAATGCAGACAGATTCTTTACTGTCTGAGCCCCCAGGGCAGCCCTTATAGCATAATATATGATCTTAAATTTGACTTTGAGGTAAACATTGGGTAAGATACTTTGGGCTAGGAGATTCTTATACCTGGTTTTAATAGTTAAAAATAGGAAAGTGTTTTCTCTTGTTACATGGCAGTGAAATAAATACTATGATATTCAAACTGTTGCATTTAAAGTTTGCATCTTGTTCTTTCCTCCATTTCACATTTTACTGTTTTTTACATGATTTTCAAAAAGTATCATAATTTCACACTGTATTAAAAAAAAAACCCCACAAAAAACACAGCAGTATTTCCAAGTAAAAAGAATCCTTACATTAGTATTTTCAGGGTTTGTATACATAGCCCTTTGAGGGTTATCTATGTATTTTTTCCTAGGGTTGGTTATTTCAAGTTCACATTAGTAGATGATTAATTAAAATTTTCAGATTACGTGCAGCTTTAAAATTTTTAGCTTAAATGTTTGAACCCCTCTGAGAAGAGTTGTTAGAACAGCGCTTAAAAAACTGATGAAAAAAGAACATATTTATGAAACCTGGAATACAGCAAGATAAGAAGACTTGGTAAATACAAAGTTATTTGTGCCCAGTTACTTTTGCTTTTGTTGTACCTGATTGGACATCTGTATTATTATTCTGTCTTTATGCTTCAAAAAACCAATTTCTGCTGCTCTTTATTATTTTTGAAAGACGTTCATTGAAGAAGTACCTCATAGTGAATAATTTAGGAAAGTGAAATTAAGATTTCCTGAGAATCTTCATGGCAAGTGTATATTTTGTAGTAAAATAAAGTTCTTAGGCTAGTTTTGTATATAAAATAAGCCATTGAGAATTAAAAAGATTATTATTTAGATAAACTTAACCAAATGCAACATGTAAACATGTGGAAATGGATAGATCTTCAATTATAGTTTATTAGCACTTGAAGCTACTATTTAGTCACTAAGTACTATTTAATTTCCTTTTTGAGTGTTTGTTTAGAAGCTGCTCTTATTTCCTAACCATTAGTCTTTCTAGAATCTCTTTCTGGAGATGCTATAAAATAACTCTTGTAATGTCTGGTAGATAATTGCTGGGCTTAGAGTTTATTCTGCTATATTTCTCTTATAGCTTTGAAACTGATGTAGTCTTTTTACAGAGTAGCATATTTAAGATTAAAATGGTTATATAAACATAGATAGGATAGGAATTTTATACAAGTGATACGTGTTACTGGAGGGGGTTGTATACTGAAGTAGTAGAAGCAAGTCACAAACTAGAGATTAGGTGATAATCTATTCTATTGAAAAGTTTTGAGGTACAGGCTAAGTTTTCTTTTAGAAAATCAATATGAGGCCTAAAGTTTAGTTAACTAGTCACTACTTTGTTGACATTGGTTAATTTTAATTAACTGTTTGGACCAAAGAAAATATTTTAAGATAGATGATAACCTATTCTGATCTATGTAGAAATCTTTCATCTTTGACCTAAGATGATGAATGGATGCCTCAGAGAGTGTGTTGTTTCTTTTTCTTTATGAACTGTAGTGTTCTTCCTTCAGAGAGGTGAATCCGTAGGAGCTCAGAAGTCATCTTTCTTTTAAAGACTAAAAACATCTTGAAAAAATAAACATTTAAATTAGATGCATTTTAAAATGTGTTAGAACACTTACTAAAATAAGATTGTATGCATGAATAGTGAGATAGGAGCTTGAACTTGTGGGTCATTTGTTTTTAGTTCAAAATAATATTACATAATGTTCTTAGCTCCTGTTTGTTGTGTCTCAAAGTGATTGAAAGAGCTAATATTGTGTGTGTGTGTGTGTATGCCAGGCTAACTTATAAAGGCAGTATATATGTGAGTGCTATTTAAAGCTCTCACTCAAATAGTTTCCTGGAGGCATATATCACGTTTTGTTGTTTAGTCACTAAGTTGTGTCTGACTCTTTTGAGACCCCATGGACTGTTGCCTGCCAACCTCCTCTATCCATGGGATTTCCCAGGCAAGAATACTGGAGGGGGTTGTCATTTCCTTCTCCAGGGGATCTTCCCAACCTAGGTATTAAACCCGTGTCTCTTGTATCTCTTGCATTGGCAGGTGAACTCTACCACTGCACCAACTGGGAAGCCTAAATCTTTTATCTTTAAAAATATTTAAATTTAGTAATCGTGAAGAAACCAACTTTTTGATATCAGAAAAGTATTACAATGGTGCTAAAATTTGCATAGCATTACGTGTTTGTAGATAATCCATAGCTCAAATTTTATTACTTTTACATATTCTTGATTAAAATTACACATTTCTTTTATTAGGAAGTGGCTGTTTTTGTCTTTGATAAAAAGCTGATTGACAAATATCAAAAATTTGAAAAGGATCAAATCATCGATTCTCTAAAACGAGGAGTCCAACAGTTAACTCGACTACGACACCCTCGACTTCTTACTGTCCAGCATCCTTTAGAAGAATCCAGGTAAATTTTTATGAAAATTTACATTAGAGACTTCCTAAAAAAATAGTTTTAAAAAAACCCTTCTATCTTTGCAACATACTTTCAGTGAAAAATTTTTATTAACTTTGAGGGTTGAGTTCTTATGGATTAATTACTTCTTTAAAATTTATTTGCATGTGCTATGTATATATCTTTTTGAAGTATTAATAAGAGTTTTCCCTACATTTGCCGTGAGTCTGTATTTGTTTATTCTATGCTCAAGACTACATTACTCCAAATGGAAACTACAAGAGAAGTCCCTGCCTGTAAGAAGTGTTTCTTGTTAATTTACTAGAATTCATTGTGCCCTTTTCATTGATTCAGTGTTCAGAGGTTGTTTTTATGTGTGTTCCAGGTAGTACTGTTCTGGGTGTTTTAACTTTTTACTACGTCCTGTATGTCAGTCCATAGCCCTCAGTTACTCCACCATCTCTGACCCTGCAACTTCCCTTATACTGATTTAAATATTGCAGAACTCGGGCTTTATTGGCATTCATGAAGAGAGATAATTCTGAGGTTACCTTAAGGCATTTTAATGGCTTGATGTAAAAATTACAGTAGCATTGATGGAAATAGGAACACGTTACGGAAGAAAAAAAGTAACTTCCAGTTTTTAATGACTTAATAATATGGAAATGACACTGGAATCATCCAAAAGAAATGTGCTATAGAATAGTAAACCAGACAGAAGTTCAGAGTTGGTGATGTCTATGGAGGTGAATAACATAGTGGTAGTGAAAGTCGCTCAGTCGTGTCCGACTCTTTGTGACCCCATGCACTATACAGTCCATGAATTCTCCAGTCCAGAATACTAGAGTGGGTAACCGTTTCCTTCTCCAGGGGATCTTCCGAACCCAGGGATCAAACCCAGCTCTCCTACGTTACAGGTGGATTCTTTACCAGCTGAGCCACCAGGAAAGCCCTAGTAACATAGAAGCAGTAATTAAAACCATGAAAAAATGAATTTCAGGAGCATGAGTCAAAAGAACAGTTGAGTAGTGACGACAGAACTTGAAAAGGGGAAAGAAGGGCCAGGTAAAGAAACTGGAGGAGAAATGCCATCCATGTTGTTTGGCAGGAAAAAAATTGGCAGTGTGTTACGGGAGCCAAATAAGGGAAGAAAGGACTCCCTGACACTGGAGACCACCTAATAAAAAGGAAAGACAGGCTGAGAAGGACCATTGCATTTGACTAGGAGAAGTTATTAGTGATACTCCATAATTTCAGTAGGATGGCAGTTTGGAAGCTAGAAAGGAACCCAGCAGGGAAGACATCATTATGTGAATCAAGTCCCATAGAAGTGTCAGGCGAGTGTATGCTTCTCGGTTCTGTCTCGTCACAACAAAGATTTGGGTCGACAGACATTAAAGCCCTCGGCAGGTCACAGGTCTCCAGTCTTGGCCAGACTCTGTTATAGCTCTTAGACAAATCAGTGTTACAGCTCCATTTTATTTAGAAAATATCAGGAGAATCCAACCTCGAGGCGTGAGGGCATGCTGGCCCAAAGACATGAAAAGGAGAAAGTGAGGGAGCGCGCCAGCACGCGTTGGGGGGCGGGGAAGCTAGAGAGAGAGCGCGCGCGCAGTGCGCAGGAGAGAGAGCAAGCGAACGCATGCTGTGGGGAGAGAGAGGGCGGGGTGGAAGGGAGAGAGCGGGGTGGGAGGGAGAGAGCCAGCGAGCACACGCATGCTGTGGGGAGAGAGAGGGCGGGGTGGAAGGGAGAGGGCGGGGTGGAAGGGAGAGAGCGAGCGAGCACACGCATGCTGTGGGGAGAGAGAGGGCGGGGGTGGGGGCGGAGAGCGAGCTGCGGTGGGGGCGGGGCCCCTTGGCTCCTCCTTCTATATGTTTTTTCCTCCACTGGGCCTGCCCTATGCAAATTGGGCTTAGCCAGGGGTGCTAGTTGTTCTACCTGAAGTCTTCCCTCCAGTCCTCACACCTTCCTTTGTTCTATTTTCGCGGGCTTTTCCCTTCCTTGTCTTTTAGCTACCCCCATTTTGGACTCCTTTTCCGTGTTCTAACTACCTGACAGAAGGAACTAAAAGGAAATTTCAGGAGGATAGTTATGAATCACTAATATACTGAGGTAAAGTGTAGGGAAATGAGATCATTCGTGTTAAATGAATTTTACTTTTTTTCAGGTAGAACGTGGATCATAGATGAGTAGTGGGTAAAAGAATGAGGAGTTAATATAAGAGGGCTATGAAGGGATATTCTTGAATGCTGAAAAATAAGAGCAAGGTTAAGTATATGTCTTTAGACGATGAGTTTATGAAGTCTTGGATTTTATATTTTTGCTTCAGCTTCTGACAGAAGCGAGAGAGTAAAAGAAACCTGTGATGGTAACTACAGGATTAATAAGTATTTGCTCAGTAAAGGGTAGTAAGGATGATTGTTGAGGCAGTAGGGAGAAAGAAGGGGCTAAAGTGTAGTCAGGACTGAATACTTCAGAATTGTTGAATAAAGTTACTGGGAAGCTAGATTAGGTGGTGGTAGTAAAAAGTAGGAGATGAATGGTTAGTAAATACCTGTGGTTGGGGAAGGTGATCCTTGAGATGGGCTATGGTGCTTCTGGTATGTAACTGTTTGTAATGATAATGAAGTAAATATTCATGAAAGATAATAAGGGCTTCAAACTTAAATAATAATTATGAATATTGATATGACCAAGGATGATTCTGAGGACAAGACAGCAAAGGAAAAAAATTAGAGTTACTAAAATAAATGAGTCCTGGGAATCACTGAAAATTGTAGACAAACCGTAGGAGTATTTGAGCAGTTTTCCTCCCGTACAGTTCAGTGAATGAAAACCTGGTGTCCACTGTATTAATAAGCTTAGCAAGGCAGTGATGAGCAAGATCAGGATCATTATCTTTCATGATAACTGAGCTGGTAGGACAGTGTAACCTCCTCCTTCACCCTAAGCAGCTCTGTCTTTATCTCTTATACATAAACTTCTGCATATGCTTTCATTTGAAAAATAGATTCAAGGTGAAAAAAAAAGTTACTCAGTACTCCTGATAGATAGAATAGCAGAAGGCATGTTTGTCATTTAGCAGTCACTGTCTAGGTGCAGAGGCTTGGGATAGCTTTGTTACTACCCTGCCTTATAGTTCTTCATTACTGTAGCCTAAGCCCTGAGGCATGAAATGTTAGGACTTGAAGTCTCAGACACTTGGTAATTACAGTAGCAGTTGTAAGCATTTACTGAGCTTATATTTTAGTAAGCATGTTATGTATTTCACATGCATTTGCTCATTTGATCTTCACAGTAACCCTTCATGGTGGTCTTGCATCACCATTTTACAAATGGACAAAGTGAGACTCAAAAGTGTCTTGAGTGAGACCAACAAGGCATAAGGATGCTGGGACTTGAAGTTGGGTATTTGTCTTCAGAGCTTGAGTTCTTGATCATTAGCCTACAAGGCTTATTGAATGTTAATATCTAACATTTTCTGAATTTCTAAACATTCTTATAATCAAAAAACAATAGAGAATCCCCTGGCTGTCCAGTGGTTAGACTCTGAGCTTCTAATGCTGGTGGCCCAAGTTCAATAGCTGGTCTGGGAACTAAGATGCTGCAAGCCATGCAGTATGCCCAAAGCAATACACAAAAAAATTAAGAATGCTAATTTTAAAAATTGGAAACTTGTGACACCTTTAAAAATGATAGGTAAAAGCAAAGCTGCTGTGAGATTGAGGTTGTCATGAGGCCAGTCACTCTGACCAGCATCAGGACCTGACTGCCTGGCTCTGAAATCTTCCACACGGACCTCCTCCTAGTGAGCTACCTGAGCTCCAGGTGTGTCCATGGGCTGTGCTCTGAATAGAATATCGTATCTCCTGGCCCCTTGGCAACCTGGGGGAGCCTTGTTGACCCTATGTACATGGGCTCCATGGTAGCTGCCAGCCAGTTCAGCTCAGTTCAGTTGCTCAGTTGTGTTCAACTCTTTGCTGTCCTGTGGACTGCAGCACGCCAGGCCTCCCTGTCCATCACCAACTCCCGGAGTCTACTCAGACTTGTGTCCATTGAGTTGGTGATGCCATCCAACCATTTCATCCTCATCGTCCCCTTCTCCTCCCACCTTTAATCTTTCCCAGCTTCAGGGTCTATTCAGATGAGCCAGTTCTTCCCACCAGGTGGCCAAAGTATGGAGTTTTAGCTTCAGCATCAGTCTTTACAATGAATATTCAGTACTGATTTCCTTTAGGATGGACTGGTTGGATCTCCTTGCAGTCCAAGGGACTCTCAAGAGCCTTCTCCAGCACCACAGGTCAAAAGCATCAGTTCTTCAGTGCTCAGCTTTCTTTATGGTACAACTCTTACATCCATACATGACTACTGGAAAAACCGTAGCTCTGATTAGATGGACCTTTGTTGGCAAATTGGTGTCTCTGCTTTTTAATATGCTGTCTAGGTTGGTCATAACTTTTCTTCCAAGGAGTAAGCGTCTTTTAATTTCATGGCTGCAGTCACCATCCGCAGTGATTTTGGAGCCCCCCAAAATAAAATCTGTCACTGTTTCCATTGTTTCCCCATCTGTTTGCCATGAAGTGATGGGCCCAGGTGCCATGATCTTAATTTTCTGAATGTTGAGCTTTAAGCCAACTTTTTCACTCTCCTCTTTCACTTTCATTAAGAGGCTCTTGAGTTCTTTGCTTTCTGCCATAAGGGTGGTGTCATATGCATATCTGAGGTTATTGATATTTCTCCCGGAAATCTTGATTCCAGCTTGTGCTTCCTCCAGCCCAGCGTTTCTCATGATGTACTTGGCATAAAAGTTAAGTAAGCAGCATTAAAATATACAGCCTTGACGTACTCCTTTTCCTATTTGGAACCAGTCTGTTGTTCTGTGTCCAGTTCTAATGGTTGCTTCCTGAGGTGCATATAGATTTCTCAGGAGGCAGATCAGGTGGTCTGGTATTCCCATCTCTTTCAGAATTTTCCACAGTTTATTATGATCCACACAGTCAGAGGTTTTGGTGTAGTTGATAAAGCACACATAGATGTTTTTCTGGAACTCTCTTGCTTTTTTGATGATCCATTGGATGTTGGCAATTTGATCTCTGGTTCCTCTGCCTTTCTAAAACCAGCTTGCACATCTGGAAGTTCACGGTTCACATACTGCTGAAGCCTGGCTTGGAGAATTTTGAGCATTACTTTACTAGCGTGTGAGATGAGTGCAATTGTGCGGTCGTTTGAGCATTCTTTGGCATTGCCTTTCTTTGGGATTGGGATGAAAACTGACCTTTTCCAGTCCCGTGGCAACTGCTGAGGTTTCCAAATCTGCTGGCATATTGAGTGCAGCACTTTCACAGCATTAGCTCTTAGGATTGGAAATAACTCAACTGGAATTCCATCACCTGTACTAGCTTTGTTGATAGTGATGCTTCCTAAGGCCCACTTGACTTCCCATTCCAGGATGTCTGGCTCTAGGTGAGTGATCACACCATTGTGATTATCTGGGTCATGAAGATCTTTTTTGTATAGTTCTTCAGTGTATTCTTTCTACCTCTTCTTACTATTTTCTGCTTCTGTTAGGTCCATTCCATTTCTTTCCTTTATCGAACCCATCTTTACATGAAATGTTCCCTTGGTATCTCTAATTTTCTTGAAGAGATCTCTAGTCTTTCCCATTCTATTGTTTTTCTGTATTTCTTTGCATTGATCACTGAGGAAGACTTTCTTATATCTCTCCTTGCTGTTCTTTGGAACTCTGCATTCAAATGGGTATACCTTTCCTGTTCTCCTTTGCCTTTAACTTCTCTTCTTTTCACAGCTGTTTGTAAGACCTCCTCAGACAGCCATTTTGCATTTTTGCTTTTCTTTTTCTTGGGGATGGTCTTGATCCCTGTCTTCTGTACAGTGTCATGAACCTCTGTCCATAGTTCATCAGGTACTCTGTCTATCAGATCTAATCCCTTGACTCTCACTTCCACTGTATAATTGTAAGAGATTTGATTTAGGTCATACCTGAATGGTCTAGTGGTTTTCCCCACTTTCTTCAGTTTAAGTCTGAATTTGGCACTAAGGAGTTCATGATTTGAGCCATCGTCAGCTCCCTGTCTTGTTTTTGCTGACTGTGTAGAGCTTATTCATCTTTGGCTGCAAAGAATATAATCAGTCTGATTTCAGTGTTGACCATGTGGTGATGTCTATGTGTAGAGTCTTCTCTTGTCTTGTTGGAAGAGGGTGTTTGCTATGACCAGTGCGTTCTCTTGGCAAAACTCTATTAGCCTTTGCCCTGCTTCATTCTGTACTCCAAGGCCAAATTTGTTTGTTATTCCATTATTTCTTGACTTCCTACTTTTGCATTCCAGTCCCCTATAGTGAAAAGGACATCTTTTTTGAGTGTTAGCTCTAGAAGATCTTGTAGGTCTTAATAGAACCGTTGAATTTTTCAGCTTCTTCAGCATTACTGGTCGGGGCAGTACTGGTTGGTCCACTGGAGAAGGGAATCCAACTTACTGTTTGGATTACTGTGATACTGAATTGTTTGCCTTGGAAGCAAACAGATATCATTCTGTCATTTTTGAGATTGCATCCAAGTATTGCATTTCAGACTCTTGTTGACTATGATGGCTACTCCATTTTTTTCTAAGGAATTCTTGCCCACAGTATTAGATATAATGGTCATCTGAGTTAAATTCACCCATTCCAGTCCATTTTAGTTCTCTGATTCCTAAAATGTCGATATTCACTCTTGTTATCTCCTGTTTGACCACTTCCAATTTGCCTTGATTCATGGACCTAACATTCCAGGTTCCTATGCAATACTGTTCTTTACAGCATCAGACTTTACTTCCATCACCAGTCACATCCACAGCTGAGTGTTTTCACTTTGGCTCCATCTCTTCATTCTTTCTGGAGTTATTTCTCCACTGTTCTCCAGTATCGTATTGGGCACCTACCAACCTGGGGAGTTTATCTTTCAGTGTCCTATCTTTTTGCCTTTTCATACTGTTCATGGGGTTCTCAAGGCAAGAATACTGAAGTGGTTTGCCATTCCCTTCTTCAGTGGACCATATTTTGTCAGAACTCTGCACCATGACCCATCTGTCTTGGGTGGCCCTACGAGGCATGGATCATAGTTTCATTGAGTTAGACAAGGCTGTGGTCCATGTGATCAGATTGGTTAGTTTTCTGTGTTTTTGCTTTTCAGTCTCTCTGCCAGCTGATGGATAAGAGGCTTATGGAAGCTTCCTGATGGGATAGACTGACTGAGGGGGAAACTGGGTCTTGTTCTGATCGGTGGGGCCATGCTTAGTAAATCTTTAATCTGATTTTCTGTTGTGGGTGGGGCTGTGTTCCTTCTCTGTTATTTTTCTGGGGCCAAACTATGGTGGAGGTGAAGTGAAGTGAAGTGGCTCAGTCGTGTCCGACTCTCTGCGACCCCAAGGACTGTAGCCTACCAGCCTACCAGGATCCTCAGTCTATGGGATTTTCCAGGCAAGAATACTGGAGTGGGTTGCCACTTCCTTCTCCAGGGGATCTTCCCGACCCAGGGATTGAACCTGGGTCTCCCGCATTGTAGGCAGACACTTTACCGTCTGAGCTACACAGGGAATCTCCTGGTGGAGGTAGAAGATAATAAAGGTGACTTTCTTCCAAAGGTCCCATGCAGGCACTGCTACACTCAGTGCCCCCAACCCTGCAGCAGGCCATGGCCGACCCACGCTTGCGCCAGAGACTCCTGGACACTCCCACCCACTCACCACCCAGAAATAGGACACCCCCAATCCCCTGGCCAGCACTTAGCATGCATACCTCTCCTAGGAATGTGCTATGGAGGATAAGTACCAGAGCTTGCAAAGTACCAGAGGAGGCCCCATGGGATACCATATTTCCCAAAGCAAGAACAGAAAGGTATTCACACTGTTTTCTAGGTGCAAAAGACAGTCTGAAAGATGCAAAAATAATGTGCCCTCCTAGGGCTCCAACAACTCACAAAGGTCTCAAGTGACATAATTCAGCAACCCCCGCCCCCCCCCCCCCCCCGCAAGATATTTGTTCCTAATAGTGAAAAAAAGAAACGTGGCCGGCTTGTGTGAGCTCGAGCTATGTCCTGACTCCTCTTGCTCCAGAGGCATCTGGGAAGTCTGCAATTTCCTTTAAGCATATTCTGTAAATTATAGCCTTATAAATAAGGGTAATATAACAATATTCTAAATTAATTTATTGGTTTTCTATAAAGAATATCAATTATTAAAAAAGCACAGTGGCAATTATCCAGTGTAATTCATACATCGAGCTTCCTGACTTTGCTTTGTTATGTTATAGTAATGGTGAAAATGAATCTAAACTTGTCTGCCTTCTTGGTAGTTATAGAGGACCACTCATACTTTTCTTTTTTTAAAACAGGGACTGCTTGGCATTTTGCACAGAACCAGTTTTTGCCAGTTTAGCCAATGTTCTGGGTAACTGGGAAAATCTACCTTCCCCTGTGTCTCCAGACATTAAGGATTATAAACTTTATGATGTAGAAACCAAATATGGTTTGCTTCAGGTATGTATTTTTATTCATTGTGTGGATGGAATATTTTCATTCAAAAGTATTTTTATAACCATTTCAAATTTAGCCATATAAACTGCTTTATGTAAACCTTTGCATCTTTAGTAATTTAAAAATCATTTCTATGTTCTAGAATTTCTCTACAGTTTATTTTTAGGCTTAAATTGTATTTTCAATGTATGAAACATAACATTAGTAACCTTTGGAGAAGAGCACTTGTTGATTGGTGAGTGTGTGGTTCCTTTTTTATTTCTTTGAGTTTTAAACCTACAGAATGCATCTCTTAAGTCCATTCCACTTTTGCTGATTTCCTTCCCCTACTTACTAAAATATCTTCAGCTTTATAGAGTAAATTTATACAGTAGATTCTTTGTTTTGGGGGCAGAGATAAGTTTGTTCATTATTTTTAACAGCTTTATTAAGGTATAATTAATTAGCATACAGTAAACACATATTTGAAAATACACAGCTATTAAGTTCCTAGGTAGAACCATCACTGCAGTCAAAATAATGTATGTATCCATGACCCTCCAGAGTTTCCTCGTACCTATTGTAATCCTTACCTCTTGCTCCTTGCTACCTTTCTGTCTCTCATCCCAGGAAACCACTGACCTGCTTTCTGTCACTATGAATCAGTTTGTATTTTCTAGAACTTTCTAAATGAAATCATACAATATGTACTGTGTTTTTGGCTGGGCTTCTTTGAATCAAATTATTTTGATATTCATTCATATAGTTGTGTGTATCAGTACTTCTTTTTATTGCTGAGTAGTAGTCCATAGAATGGCTATATCATAGTTTGCTTGTCCATTCACCTGTTGACAGTCGTTTGGGTTGTTTACAGTTTTGGGCAATTGTGAATAAAGCTGCTATGAATATTCATGTACATGTTCTTGCTGGACATTTAATTTCACTTCTCTTGATTAATTACTAGGGAGTGGGATGACTAAATCAAACAGTATGTATATAGTTCATCTTCTAAGAAAATGAAAAGCCATTTTAGAAATAGTAATACCATTTTGCATTCCCATTGCAGTATATAAAAGTTACATATTTTTTCACATCTCTCCAAAACTTGGTGTGGTTGGTCCTTTCATATCCAGTCTTCACTTTTTGTTAACAAATAACCATGGTGATCTCAGGCACAAATATAAAATTATCAAATATTAATCCAAATTAAGAATGAGTGAACATCAGTTTGAAAACTGAGCACAATACTAAGAAAAATGTAATTTCAATGTGGAGTATAAGTATAAAAAATATTAAGAATTAGAATCAAATTTACGAACGTATTTCTTGATATTTCAGTTCAGTTCAGTTCAGTCACTCAGTTGTGTCCAACTCTTTGTGACCCCATGAATCGCAGCAAGCCAGGCCTCCCTGGCCATCACCAACTCCCAGAGTTTACTCCTGTCTGTTAACTCAGAAACCAGATTCTCTCACTTTTCACACTTAGGAACTGAGTAAATTTGGGACACAAAGTCTTTTCTTTTACTTTTGTGTATGTAGAAAGGAACTTAAATAAGTAGTTGCTCTCTGTTTGGGGAGTTTTTGTTGCTAATGCTTAGAATGCTCTGGCAACTTTCTCTACACTTTTGCATTTATGAAATTTAATAACCTGACATGTACAAATTATTATTGGGAGAAGCAGCAAATTTGATTATTATGAGACATTTATTAATGTACTTGAATATAAAAATATCTTTTATTCCCATTTACAGGTTTCTGAAGGATTGTCATTTTTGCACAGCAGTGTGAAAATGGTTCATGGAAATATTACACCTGAAAATATAATTTTGAATAAAAGTGGAGCCTGGAAAATAATGGGCTTTGATTTTTGTGTATCATCAACCAATCCTTCTGAACAAGAGGTAATAAAGGTTTTATTCTTCTAATTTTTTTTAAAGCTCTGGAAACTTTTGAATTGCATCTGAAATAGATTAGAGAATTTGTATGTCAGATGATGAGATGATTGGATGGCATCACCAACTCAGTGGACCTGGGTTTGAGAGTGGATAGATGCTAGAGGACAGAGAAGCCTGTGCTTAGGCTTAGTTGTGTCTAACTGTGTGACCCCGTGGACTGCAGTATGCCAGGCTCCTCCATCCATGGGATTTTCAGAAAAGAATACTGGAGTGGGTTGCCATTTCCTCCTCCAGGGGATCTTCCTGACCCAGGGATCAAACCTACGTCTCTTGTGTCTCCTACATTGGCAGGCAGATTCTTTACCACTGGCGTCACCTGGGAAGTCTGACAAATGTGTAAAAATAGGCTTTGTGGTACTATGGTATGTTTAAATTTATAGCTTTATAGAAAATTTCTCATGTTCATTGTACCTACAAATTTAGTACACTTATTCTGCAGTAATGTTACTTGAGAAAAAGTGCTAGAGTTAAGCAGATTTGAGCACTTTTGGGTTAGGTAGGTTTTTTCCCTCTCAGAATGTCGGGTACAGAAACAAACATTGTGAATTTAGCAGTGTTTCCCCAACTTATTGAACCACAGAATCTTGTTTAGGGAGCATGAAAGCAACAACAGCAGTGACAGTCATGGCTAATGTTTATTGAAGCTCTTTCTAAACACTACCTGTGTATTCACTTATCCTTGCAACAACTCAGTGAGGTATAGAAATAATACAGATGAGCAAGTTAGACTCATAGAATGAACTAACCTGCTTTAAGTTTAGGCAGGTGGTAAGCAGTAGAGTTAAGATTTGCACCCAGTTTTTCTGACTAAACAGCACCTGTTACTTAGTGATTATGAAACCTACCTATTTATACTTAGGAAAACACTGCAATATTTCAAGTTTTTACTATGTAGTTGTTAAAGAAGCCATGATTTGACCTACAATATATTTGTAATATAAGTAAACATTTTTAGGGGAAGCAGAAAGAATTAGTATTGATTGAGATATACCATGGTTCAGGCATTGTGCCAGGCCTGTTTTCCATACATTTGTTTAATTTTACAACAGCCTTTTGAACCTATTAACTAAATCACATAGTTAATTAGTGAAAGAACAAGGTTTTAAACAACTATAATCTACTTGAGCTCGTAAGTTTGAAGCCTGTATCAGAAAACATAGGCTAGACCTTTCCCTGTTCAAAATGCATCATATAGTATACAGACAATTTGTTTTCTGGAAGAGAATGCCAGTAATCTCAAAGTTATAGGAGTTCTTATTCTATCTCTTAGTTTGTTTCATGCATGTTGTAGTTTTGGGATTTGGGGAAATTTAGAATTGAAAGTGGTGGTGACATTCTTACTTGCATGACTGAGTATGAATTTAAAACTCAATTGTTAGTACTTGACAATGGTTTGCTTTAATTTGACATATTTAATCCATATGATCATTTTTCTATCCTTTTATAGCCTAAGTTTCCATGTAAAGAATGGGACCCAAATTTACCATCATTGTGTCTTCCAAATCCTGAATATTTGGCTCCTGAATATATACTTTCTGTGACCTGTGAAACAGCCAGTGATATGTACTCTTTAGGAACGGTCATGTATGCTGTATTTAATAAAGGGAAACCTGTATTTGAAGTTAACAAGCAAGATATTTACAAGAGTTTCAGCAGACAATTGGATCAGGTATTTGCCTTTAAATATTTGCTTGCATTAAAAATGTATTAAGTGTTTCTTAGTTTTTTTTTCTAAAACACGTTCAGAAAATTCTCTACACTGGGAGGAGTGTCTCATATTTGTTCTCATAAAATCAACATAACAAAAGTAATTCTTGTGATTAATATTTGTTACTACAACTTTAATCATGGCATTTATTTACTAGAGTGAAAATTTAAATATGGCCTAAAATACTGGGCATTTTGCTTTAGGAATAGAGACAATTTCAGGTATTAAAAGACATATTTTAGTTATCTTGCAACAGCAGTTTGTTCAATCTAAAAATACTTTTAGTAAATTTCAAAAAGATTTAAATGGACTGTTCACAATATAAATGTGTATCTTTGGAATATTTTATATTTGTATTTAACATTATCACTCTTGAACAGTTGAGTCGTTTAGGATCTAGTTCACTTACAAATATACCTGAAGAAGTCCGTGAACATGTAAAACTACTGTTGAATGTAACTCCAACTGTAAGACCAGATGCAGATCAAATGATAAAGGTGAGTATATATTAATTCCTGCCTTAGATGGAGGGACAAAGAATGAGTTAAAGTTGATTAAGTACTTCTGAAGATTTACAATATAGTCCCCGGATAATGTCTATATTTGTGAATATATTAAATATTCAGTGTCCTTTAATCTTAAGGAGTTAAACAATTTATGATATAAGTGCTCTGATATAAAGTTAAGATTTCAAAGAGATATAATAGTTGCAGTTGGGCGTGCAGAAGTTCTAGACATGCTAAGAGTTCATAACCCTCTTAATTCACTCATATAAGCATAGATTTTTAATAAATGGTACTGTTCATGGCCTCATGATATTTTTGTTACTCTTTGAATATTTTACTAGTTATGTAAAGTTAATGTTATTGTGTAGCCAGTTCACAGATTCTGATTCTGAAAAATTGACTTCAAAAAGAGGAGTAATTTATTATTTCTTATTCTGATTTTTACAATTAGAATTTTCATTAAGTTGTCTTTAACATTTTGCTAAATGTTTCTGACTATTATTTTTTCACCATACTGTGTCAGTTTCACATATGAGAAGTATTTCAATATTTATCAAAATAATTTTACTTCTCTGTTTTTAGATTCCCTTCTTTGATGATGTTGGTGCAGTAACACTGCAATATTTTGATACGTTATTCCAAAGGGATAACCTTCAGAAGTCACAGTTTTTCAAAGGACTGCCAAAGGTTCTGCCAAAACTGCCTAAGGTTTGTTGTTGTTTTTTAAATAACGGTCCCTTCTCTGTGTTTCATTATATGCTGTCTTCCACTTGTTTGCAGAGAGGGGAGTTGTATGTACGGATTTTTGGCTGTGCTGGGTCTTTGTTGCTGCATGGGCTTTTCTCCAGTTGTGGCAAGCAGGGGCTACTCTGTAGTTGTGACGCACAGGTTTCCCATTGCGGGGGCTTCTCTTGTTACAGAGTACAGGCTCAATAGATGTGGTGCACGGGCTTAGTTGCTCCGCAGCATGTGGGATCTTTCTGCTTCAGGGATCGAACTCATATTTCCTACCTTGGTAGGTGGGTTCTTTTCACTGGGGCCACCAGGGAAGCCTAAGGTTTGTTGTTGATCAGTTTGTTGGTAGTCAGGAGTTTAGCATTTAAAATTTACTTTGACTTCACTATAATAACACTTCCCCCCAAAATGTAACTTGCCAAGGGTACGTAAATGTCCAAAAGGCTACCGACTGAAGTCATGAAAGTTTAGTGGATCTTTTTTTACATGGTGGAAAAATAATTAAATAGGATAAAAAAACTAGCAGAGTTCAGTTCAGATCAGTTCAGTTGCTCAGTCGTGTCCGACTCTTTGCGACCCCATGCACCACAGCATGCCAGACCTCCCTGTCCATCACCAACTCCCAGAGTCTACCTAAACTCATGTCTGTTGAATTGGTGATGCCATCTAACCATCTCATCCTCTGTCGTCCCCTTCTCCGCCTGCCTTCAATCTTTCCCAGCATCAGGGTCTTTTCAAATCAGGTAGCCAAAATATTGGAGTTTCAGCTTCAACATCAGTCCTTCCAATGAACACCCAGGACTGATTTCCTTTAGAATGGACTGGTTGGATCTCCTTGCAGTTCAAGGTACTCTCAAGAGTCTTCTCCAACACCACGGTTCAAAAGCATAAATTCTTTGGCGCTCAGCTTTCTTCACAGTCCAACTCTCACATCCATACATGACCACTGGAAAAACCATAGCCTTGACCAGACGGACCTTTGTTGGCAAAGTAACGTCTCTGCTTTTAATAAGCTGTCTAGGTTGGTCATAACTTTACTTCCAAGGAGTAGGCGTCTTTTAATTTCATGACTGCAGTCACCATCTGCAGTGATTTTGGAGCCCAGAAAAATAAAGTCTGATGCTGTTTTCACTGATTCCCCATCTATCTGCCATGAAATGATGGGCCCAGATGCCATGATCTTAGTTTTCTGAATGTTGAGCTTTAAGCCAGCTTTTTCACTCTCCTCTTTCACTCTCATCAAGAGGCTCTTTAGTTCTTCTTCACTTTCTGCCATGAGGGTGGTGTCGTATGCATATCTGAGGTTATTGATATTCCTCTCGGCAATCTTGATTCCAGCTTGTGCTTCTTCCAGCCCATCATTTCTCATGATGTACTCTGCATATAAATTAAATTAGCAGGATGACAATATACAATTGACATACTCTTTTTCCTATTTGGAACGAGTCTGTTGTTTCATGTCCAGTTCTAACTGTTGCTTCCTGACCTGCATACAGGTTTCTCAAGAGGCAGGTCAGGTGGTCTGGTATTCCCATCTCTTTCAGAATTTTCCAGTTTATTGTGATCCACACAGTCAAAGGCTTTGGCATAGTCAATAAAGCAGAAGTAGATGTTTTTCTGGAACTCTCTTGCTTTTCCGATGATCCAATGAATGTTGGCAATTTGATCTCTGGTTCCTCTGCCTTTTCTAAAACCAGCTTGAACATTTGGAAGTTCACGATTCACATACTGCTTAAGCCTGGCTTGGAGAATTTTGAGCATTACTTTACTAGCGTGTGAGATGAGTGCAATTGTGCGGTAGTTTGAGCATTCTTTGGCATTACCTTTCTTTGGGATTGGAATAAAAACTGACCTTTTCCAGTCCTGTGGCCAGTGCTGAGTTTTACAAATTTGCTGGCATATTGAGTGCAGCACTTTCACAGCATCGTCTCTGAGGATTTGAAATAGCTTAGCTGGAATTCCATCACCTCCACTACCTTTGTTCATAGTGATGCTTCCTAAGTCCCACTTGACTTCCCATTCCAGGGTGTCTGCCTCTAGGTGAGTGATCACACCATTGTGATTATCTGGGTCATGAAGATCTTTTTTGTACAGTTCTTCTGTGTATTCTTGCCACCTCTTCTTAATATCTTCTGCTTCTGTTAGGTCCATACCATTTCTTTCCTATATTTTGCTCATCTTTGCATGAAATTTTCCCTTTGTATCTCTTAATTTTCTTGAAGAGATCGCTAGTCTTTCCTATTCTATTGTTTTCCTCTATTTCTTTGCATTGATCGCTGAGGAAGGCTTTCTTATCTCTCCTGGCTATTCTTTGGAACTCTTTATTCAAATGGGTATATCGTTCCTTTTCTCCTTTGCTTTTGGCTTCTGTTCTTTTCACAGCTATTTGTAAGTCCTCCTCAGACAGCCATTTTGCTTTTTTGCATTTCTTTTTCTTGGGGATGGCCTTGAACCCTGTCTCCTGTACAGTGTCACCAACCTCTGTCCATAGTTCATTAGGCACTCTGTCTATCTGATCTAATCTCTTGAATCTATTTCTCATTTCCACTGTATAATCATAAGGGATTTCCTCACTTTCCTCAATTTAAGTCTGAATTTGGCAATAAGGAATTCATGATCTGAGCCATAGTCAGCTCTCGGTCTTGTTTTTGCTGACTGTGTAGAGCTTCTCTATCTTTGGCTGCAAAGAATATAATCAATCTGATTTCGGTGTTGACCTTCTGGTGATGTCCATGTGTAGAGTCTGTCTTCTCTTGTGTTGTTGGAAGAGGGTGTTTGCTATGACCAGTGCGTTCTCTTAGCAAAACTCTATTAGCCTTTGCCCTGCTTCATTCTGTACTCCAAGGCCAAATTTATTTGTTACTCCAGGTATTTCTTGACTTCCTACTTTTGCATTCCAGGCCCCTATAAAGAAAAGGACATCTTTTTCAGGTGTTAGTTCTAAAAGGTCTTGTAGGTCTTCATAGAACCGTTCGGCTTCTTCAGCGTTACTGGTCGCGGCATAGACTTGGATTACTATGATATTGAATGGTTTGCCTTGGCAACGAACAGAGATCATTCTGTCGTTTTGGGGATTGCATCCAGGTACTGCAGTTCGGACTCTTTTGTTGACTGTGATGGCTACTCCGTTTCTCTAAGGGATTCCTGCCCACAGTAGTAAATATAATGGTCATCTGAGTTAAATTCACCCATTCCAGTCAATTTTAGTTCACTGATTCCTAGAATGTCAACATTCACTCTTGCCATCTCCTGTTTGACCACTTCCAATTTGCCTTGATTCATGGACCTAACATTCCAGGTTCCTATGCAATATTGCTCTTATAGCATCAGAACTTGTTTCCATCACCAGTCACATCCACAACTGGGTATTGTTTTTGCTTTGGCTCCATCCCTTCATTTTTTCTGGAGTTATTTCTCCACTGATCTCCAGTAGCATATTGGGCACCTACCACCCTGGGGAGTTCATCTTTCAGTGTCCTATCTTTTTGCCTTTTTATACTGTTCATGGGGTCCTCAAGGCAAGAATACTGAAGTGGTTTGCTATTGTCTTCTCCAGTGGACCACATTCTGTCAGCACTTGGACATTAAACATCAGAAGAGAAGTTGTAAACTGTCATGGAAATCACTGTCTCACTAGCAGTTAAGGGGTTACTTCAGTATGATACTAGTCTCTCCAGTTCCTCTACTCTTCCTTCCTGTCTTAGTAAATTGTGAGGATAACATGGTCTAAAAATATTAATGAATGCTAAAAAAGCCACTGTCTGGAAAACTAGTTAATGCCTTTGTAAAAATAATTCCAGTGTTTAATCAATCAGATACTCATTGGTTATATACTGTTCGTGTAGCCCTTTACCCAGACGCCCTGGAGATTAAATGGGAAACAAAATATTGTCTTTGTTTTCAAGGCCCTTTTAGTAAATGTAGATGGAGTTAGCATGCACAAAACAATAATTTACAGTATGGGATATGAATCATAAGTAATGAAGAAATTAAGAGGAGAACTATATTAATGAAGACTAATTAGGAAAGATTTCCTAAAGAGTGACCATATATCCCCCTTTCTCTGTAATGTTCCCAGGTTATGTCTTTTGTCCTGGCATAATTAGCATTAGTAATATTTTATTCTCAAAAGTGTCCCAGTTTCAACTATCAATTATATAGTCTCTTTACCCAAAAGGATTGGGGGTGTTAGACGCTTAACTTCAATGTTAATACTAAAGACCTGATAGAAAGATTAATTTTAAGAAAACATTTTTGCCTTTCAGCGTGTGATTGTGCAGAGAATTTTGCCTTGTTTGACTTCAGAATTTGTAAACCCTGACATGGTACCTTTTGTTTTGCCCAATGTTCTACTCATTGCTGAAGAATGTACCAAAGAAGAATATGTTAAGTTAATTCTACCTGAACTTGGGCCTGTCTTTAAACAGCAGGAGCCAATCCAGGTATGTATGTAGATATTTTTTCCTGTTTATCTGCGCTTATTTGGTGGTCTTAGTCAATGATAACTATCACTGAAAACAAAAGGAACGGATATCTGGCTTTTTAAAAATTGAGGTAAATATGAGAGATTTGCTTTTCCAATAGTCAGAAGGTATTTTTCATATGCTTGAAGTGAACCATTCCTAAAGTTAATAGTTGAACTTTGCAAGTAAATGTCTATAGCTGTCAACAAGTTACTATCTCAGAAAAATTGTAGTGAGGTTTTACATGTGTTATATTATTCCCATTGGCCTTACTGAAAGTTACAGGTTTAGTAAAATAAATATTTATTTTTCTCCTTCACTTTTAAATATTTCTGTTTTTCTGTTTTGTTATTGAATCTTTAATTTGTATATGGTTTGTGTCAGTGCCGTTTATTTTATTGATAATAAATAGTTTCACTAGAAGAGGGAAAATGCTTCCAGCACCATGGGAGTAATACGTGTATTGTTAAGAGAAAATTTAATTAGAGTCTGATATAGACTCTATTAAAATATTTATTCCCCAGATTCAAGGTGCACTGGATTTAAGGGAGCAGTAAGGTCCCATACTTCAATTAGAATCTGGCCACCTTCATCTCCTTGGATAAGTCATTACTCTGTTACAGCTTCTATTTTGGTCATTTCTGAAGTGAAAGGAGTTGTTGAAATTAATTGAAATTTTCTAGCACATGGTAAATATTACTAAGTTTCTGATACTACATGGCAGTAGCTTATTGGTAAACTGTTGATTACCTAATTTAACGGTTTAATGACAGGCTGTTTGTGGTCCTTCCCTTGAAAGGAGGGAAACAGAAGGAAGTCTGTGGTAGTCAGGCAAGAGTTCCTCTGCCTGAGAAAGGGGCAGGTGAGGGAACTGTAGGGTTTGAAGCAGAGTTCTCCAAACACGGTCAACATGTCAGGAAGAAAAGCAGTGGGGTTGCATGTCCACCAACTTGTTCGTCAGACAGGAGCCTAAGGGGTCTATCCTCTGAGCACTTACTTGCCTTCATTCTTTGCATTTTTCCCCCCTTACTAGTCTAGCTAAAAATCCCTTCTAGTCTGCATAAATAGAAGGGATGGTTTGTTCCTGTCACTTAGCTGTATGGTGGCAGACTGATCAGGGACAACTGAAGATGTTTCTCTCTAGAATTTTTCCTGACAGTCCTTTTCATTTCTGTACCTTTTCTTGTTTTGACCTTCATAGAAGCCAAGTGATGGAATTACTTCTTTGAGACGTCTGACTTTGCTGCCCCAGACTTTTGTTTTTTACCCAGTAGCTTTCTAGATAGTTGGTACTTGTGGGTGAGTGATGTATTACTGATGATATGTGAGAGTTAGGAAATTAGCTTTTATTTAAATATTTAAACTGAGAACAGATGTTAAATATTGTGCTTCTAGAAACATAAGAGACTTGATTTATATGTTTCTGTCTTCCATGCCTTCAGGCTAGCAACATGGTAAGTGTCAAAATACATAACTTATTCTTTTGAAGCAACTTTAAATTTTGGCATATGTAAAGTGGCATAAAAATTCTAGACTTTGATACATTGTTCCCCTTGTATACACAGATTTTATTAATCTTCCTCCAAAAAATGGATCTGCTACTAACCAAAACTCCTCCTGACGAGATAAAGAACAGTGTCCTACCAATGGTTTACAGAGCCCTAGAGGCTCCCTCCATTCAGATTCAGGTATAATATTCAATTTTTTTCTTTTAATGATGATTTTGATTAGTAAAGCAAAAGAAAGAAGTAAAGTACCTTTTAAGTTTGTCATAAAATTTTTATATAAAGCTCAGTAATACATATTAATGAGTTTGTGAATTTTATTATGTACTTTTAAAGTATATCCACTCCTAACTAATTTGAAGAATCAATTGATGAATACCAGTATTAATAAAGTAAAATGATTTATTGTTGTTTTTACTTATCAGAAATGTACTATTCTGGAAGGTTTGATTTATTGTAGTTTGGATCTCTATATATCTTCTGCTAAATGAGTAATTACCATATGAATGGAATGGCAAACATGTGTGTGCCTTTTTCTTATGAAAGCGCTAAGCAGGCGCTCCCCATACTCATGATTTTTCATGCTTGGTAACTCAGCCTTCTGTTCAGAAATGTTGCTTTTGAATTGAAGTTAATTTGTATAGCAGGTAGGTAGAAAAGCAGATAATAATTTAGTGTGAGCATCCCTAATGCATGAAAAGTCATGCATTCATGTTACAGAAGTGCTTTAAAACATTGCATACTTTGCCAAACTTCTGGTTCATCTCATACTGTGCCAAATGTTCTTTGCTACTAAAATTTTGGTTCTGTGGATTATCTGGAAAAAAAAGTTTGGATTGCTATTAAAAGTATAATTTAGTTTGAGCTTTTTTCTTCTCTACTGTGGAAAGAACATCTCACTGAATAAAAGGTTTCATATTTAAAAGTTTATACTCTCTTTGCCAGTGTAGAGATTCTAGTAAAGAAAAACATAGAAGTTTAATTTTTATAAGTTGGTGACCTAGCTTTTTTTTTTTTTATGTGAACCTAATACCATACCTATATAGTTACTTTTTTGATTCACTTCAGTCTTTATCTGAGGTCTTTTATATTATTCAAAGTTGCAAAGCTGATATTAAAATTTTTCCTTATAACATCATTTCTTACTTCCTTTGTTCAAATGACATGGAATGATTGGGAAAGGTGTACTTCAGTTCAGTTCAGTTGCTCAGTTGTGTCTGACTCTTTGTGACCCCATGAACCGCAGCACGCCAGGCCTCCCTGTCCATCACCAACTCCCAGAGTCTACTCAAACCCATGTCCATTGAGTCAGTGATGCCATCCAACCATCTCATCTCTGTCATCCTCTTCTCCTCCTGCCTTCAGTCTTTCCCAGCATCAGGGTCTTTTCAAATGAGTCAGCTCTTCACATCAGGTGGCCAAAGTATTGGAGTTTCGGCTTCAGCATCAGTCCTTCCAATGAACACCCAGGACTGATCTCCTTTAGGATGGACTGGTTGGATGTCCTTGCAGTCCAGGGGACTCTCAGGAGTCTTCTTCGATGTCACAGTTCAAAAGCATCAATTCTTCAGCACTCAGCTTTCTTTACAGTCCAAGTCTCACCTCCATACATGACCACTGGAAAAACCATAGTCTTGACTAGATGGACCTTTGTTGGCAAAGTAATGTCTTTGCTTTTTAATATGCTATCTAGGTTGGTCATAACTTTCCTTCCAAGGAGTAAGCATCTTTTAATTTCATGGCTGCAGTCTCCACCTGCAGTGATTTTGGAGCCCAGAAAAATAAAGTCAGCCATTGTTTCCACTGTTTCCCATCTATTTGCCATGAAGTGATGGGACTGGATGCCATGATCTTAGTTTTTTGAATGTTGAGCTTTAAGCCAGCTTTTTCACTCTACTTGTTACTTTTTGGCACTTTCCAAAGGAATTGTGAATTATAGCTTGAAACATTCCCACAGGCCCTGTGTAGCCAACTTGATTATATATTCAGCGAGATTAGGGAGGAAAGGAAAGGTAAAGTGATGTAAAGTCATTTTTCTTCATAGAGTGAAATAAAGTTGCTCAGTTGTGTTCAACTCCGCGACCCCCTGGACTGTAGCCTACCAGGCTCCTCCGTCCATGGGATTTTCCAGGCAAGAATACTGGAATGGGTTGCCATGTCCTTCTCCAGAGGATCTTCCCAACCCAGGGATCGAACCCAGGTCTCCCACATTGTAGGCAGACGCTTTACTGTCTGAGCCTCCAGGGAAGTCTTTTCTTCATAAGGGGGTTAGTTTGGCAAATAAGTTATCAGCCAGTATTTTACTAAAATAATTAATATAGAATTCAAATGGACCTGTGCAGCTTTGCCAAGTTTTAGACACCAGCATTTCTGATGTCATTTCAGAAGAAGTGTTTAGTCACCAGTCCAATTAACTAGTATCAGCATTGCTTAGTAAGAGTCTGATGAAGTTAAAACGTGTCTAAGCTTTGGGAGAGAGAGTAAGAGCATGAAACAAAAATCCTTTCCTCATGCCTTCTCAAGTAAGAAGGCTGGGAAGTAACTTGTGAAATTCATTTTTGGAGTGGTATTTTTAAAGTGACGTTTGATTGGAACTATGAACATTAAGAGGCTAAAGAGAGTTTAGAAAAACATTTGGAAAATTAAAAGGTGGTTTAGAAAAGTTAGGATCATTAGAAGCATTGATAAATGAGAACCAGTTTTTGAAATTATTTACCTTTAAAATTACATGAACTTGTGTTCATTCTCCCCTCCCCACCACCGATTATAGAGAAAATAGAACATAAAAGGCAGAAGTTGCTGCAAACACGCTAGCTAATTGGACTTCCTTTTATTTTTTCAGTTCCCTGTTCTTAGGTCTCCTTGTATGGAGAGAGCTCTCCCCTCCTTTAGCTAAGTGATTTAGACATTTGCCTCTTTATAACCTACTCCTAGATTGTATGGCATAGTGCATATATGGCGTGTTCAGTCCAGTCTGTCTCAAATGAATTAAAGACTGAACTTTACTGTTCCCCTCTGGTAACAGGAGCACAGTGCCTCACTGACTGCTCAGCCTTGCTCATTCTCCTCTACCAACTGTGGAAAAATCGTCCCTTAAATGTAGTTTGTATTTCTTATCTTCAAGTTATGTCACCTGCTTAATTATTATACTTCTAAACGGATATTAATATTAACTCTCTTCTTTCTGTCTGCCTTTTGGAAATCTGGGAATAAGTTTAAGTAGATAAAATATTTGCTAAAATTCTGATATCAGATTCTTAGTGATTAATTCATTTCTGTCTGCTAACTACAAATAAGTATATCTTTGTTTGCCAGATAGCATCAGTAACTCCTTCTCTGATACACATTTATACCTCCATTTTCTTCAGTAATCTCTTTTGTGTTTTCCTACAAGAATCATTCTGCCTTACAAGATATCTGAGATGTGGGTTCTTCAGCCAGTTTTTTTCTCAAGCCATTTCCTTTTCTTTTTCTTATCTCATTTAATCCTCCATCATCCTTCCTTTCCTCTATTATATTCAGAGTTCCCAGTTCCAGTCATTTACACTGTGACATAGCATTAGTTAACAAGAATGTTTTAAATGACTTTTCCTATTTCTATTCATTATATTTGCTTTGGTTTCAGATTTTAGAAATACTTGAAAATATCAATATAAAGAAAATTTAAATCCTCTCTCAGAGGTGCCCACAGTTCAGTTAACATTTCCAGATATATCCTTCCAGTTCTTTTTCCCAAGTCTGTAGACAAATATGTGTTTTAAAATTGGAATGATATAATAGTGTCTTATTACATTTATCCTCGATATTATTAAACAGTCTTTGAATGTATATTTTAAAATGTTTGTATTATATTCCAGCATATGGATATTGTAACAGCTAAGAAATTCATTATTTAGGAGGAATAGTTTTACATGAATTGGTATAATATTTGATTTTTCTCTCGTGAGAGATAGCAAAACTTAGATGTTACTTTGTTTTTTTAAGATGTTCCTATTTTTAAAATTAAATGAATTGTGTTTTCAGAGAAAGAAATTAGGAATGTTTTCAGGAGATTTTGGTATATATGCTAGTTGTATGACATAGCATGAATGTGAGTGAGGTCTTCTGAGCCTGTTTTCTCATCTGTAAAGTAGAAAATTGATAATAAGTATTTTTCTTTCAAATAGCCGTTGTAAGGATCAAATGATAGATAAGAGTTTATTTCAGACTATGTGACAAAATTAACCATGCAAATACAAAATGCTTTTTAATACGTGTTTCTCTGAGATTGATCCAATTTATTTTATTAATAGGAACTCTGTCTAAACATCATTCCAACCTTTGCAAATCTTATAGACTACCCATCCATGAAAAATGCTTTGATACCAAGAATTAAGAATGCATGTCTGCAAACATCTTCCCTTGCTGTAAGTAATTACATATTTTTATTTGTCTCTCACTTCTCATTGGCTTAGTAATTTTCTTATTGTTTAGTAATCTTTTTACAGTTTGTTCATATATTTCATCCTGGCTCTAAGTAACCTATAAATAGTACAGTGAAAGTGAACAATAGCTGTAGTTTGCCTAGATATATAATTTTATAGTATTGCATCCCTGACATTACTCCCTGTCTGTTAGTGCTTCAGTAGAAAATTTGAGTAATTTTTTTCTTAATCCTCTTTTGCTTTAAGCCACAATTTATTTTTTTTAACCACCTAAATTGTTTTCTGCTTTTTTTAGTTTATGTTAAAAAAAATAGCTTTATTGATATTATGATCCTGATTCAAAGTATTCTATCTTAACAAATTGTAGCGAAGAAAGTAGGGTGTGAAATATTTATCAAACTAGTCAAGAGACTATAGATAAAATTTTGATAAAAGAGCTCCTAAATATCAGGTGTTAGTGACTATATTAAAAATATATTTAGAAATATAAAACTTCAGGTAAGGCTGATAGAATTTCCACATATTGTTAAAATATTTAAGAATGACTTGAACATGAATTAGAGAAAAATACTGGAGGCCCAGTAAAATTAATCATTTGATGGGAGAATGTAGTCTTTTTTATAGTTAGATGACCTCAAGAAAATATTCTTGGCAAGCAAATATATAGTAAAGCTTCTCAAATCCTAATTACTTTATTTAAAATGACATGAAATTAAAATCATTCTACTCAGTATCCTAGTAAAGCAATTATAAATTTTCTGAAACAAATCAGGGGAATTTATAAATATGTGAATTTTCTACATTAATAAAGGATGAGACTTTTTAACTTTTCTTTCATTTTTGAGATGTTAACATATATGAAGATTATACTCATGCTTAAAATATTTTGGTCTAGCTTGTGAAGACTTTAAATGACTAATTCAGTTTACCTCTTTTAATAGGTACGTGTAAATTCATTAGTGTGCTTAGGAAAGATTTTGGAATACTTGGATAAATGGTTTGTACTTGATGATATTCTACCCTTCTTACAACAAATTCCATCCAAGGAACCTGCGGTCCTCATGGGAATTTTAGGTAGCTGAAAACTTAATGTCATTTAATGCTACTTTACTGTTCTATAATCATGCAAGTAAACTTCTCAATCTGTAAAACCATTTTGCTCTCTTTTCATGTATATAACATTCAGTAACTGAAGAATGATGGTGTAAATGCCATGATATAACTCTTTTCTCTGTTTATTTAAGCAAAAGTGGTAGTACCTGACATTTACAAAGGAATAAAAACATTTGGGAATCCCAGCTTCACAAATGTCATGATAGCATGTAGTTTTCCCTCTAAAAATGATACTAAACAAGACAGGCAAACAAAGCTACTTGAAATGCTGATACCAATCATAATAGTAATACCTAATGTTTATTTGTTACCCGATTTATAAGAGGCACTCTGCTAAGTCTTTTTTGCATTATCTTATTTTGTCCTCTCTAAAATCTAATGAGATTTGGTACTTTTATTTCTGTTTTACAATAAGGACCTGAGGTTTAGATAAATGAAGTAAGTTATTCAAGATTATACAGCTAAAAAGTGGTAGAGTTGGCTCTTAATTTAGATATGTTTAAATATGAACCCAGGGCTTCCATGGTGGCCCACTGGCAAAGAACCCACCTGCCAATGCAGGAGACATGGGTTCAGTCCCTGGGTCGGGAAGATTCCCTGGAGAGGGAAATGGCAACCCGCTCCAGTATTCTTGCCTGGGAAATCCCCTGGACAGAGGAGCCTGGTGGGCTACAGCCCATGGGGTTGCAAAACAGCTGAAGACAACTTACCAGCTAAGCAGCAACAACAAAACATGAGCATGTTTTTCAGTGCTAAGTGTGGTAAAGCATTATGAGTCTTATAGCACCTTCTAGTCTGCCAGCCTGCTAATTATAAATCACTCTATTAAAAAAAACTCTGAAATTGTTTATGAATAGTTGAAGTCCAATCTGGGAATGCTGGGGTCTGCTATACTATTAGCGGTAGAATCACATAAACATTAACAAGTTATTAAACTTGAAGTTCTGTGTTAATTTTGAAGAAAATCTATGTTATTCAGCCATGTATCTGAAATACCTACTATAGTGCCTGATTTATAGAAAATCCTCAGTAAATATTTATAGGAATGGTCAGTAAGTAATCTGTTGTGGACCTCTGTAGACACAGAATTTTTGTGATACATTATGAAACTTTTGAGCCCAAGGAAATTAGTCTTCTTGACAAGGAGTTTGACACAGTGAAAAGAGCCCTAACCCCAATTCTGGCTGTGCCAGTTCCTGGATTGACTTTGAAAAGTTTCTTTATCTGTCACATAAGGGTAAAATAATATCATTATAGGAGTTTTGTGAGAATTCAGTGAGACCAACTGAAGGGAAAGTAATGAGCATAGTGTTCTGCAAACAAGCATTTAGTGGGCATACAGAGTTCTTCGAGTATGTAAGTGAAGTGTGCATTAACTGGAGAATAATAGGTGGTGTGTTCTAAAGCTTTAGATTATATACAAAACTCTTACTCCATGAAAGCATACAGAGATTGAGGAGCAAATGTGCTCAGTTTACCAAATGAAGGCTTTGTGAAATAGGTATAACAGCAGGGTCTTGAAAGTTGAGTAAATATGAAAGACAACAGTGAAGGATTGTGTGGAGTTAAATTATTAAAGTTCAGAGATGTTGAGTCTGATTGGTTAAAGTGAATAAAGGTATAGGACCTATCCTTAGACACTTTTAAGTTTGAGTGAGTAGTCTGAAATAAATATTTAGTTGTGTTCAGAATACAGACATTTCTGTAGCCTTACTGCTACACTGTAAGAACTATACCTGATTCGAATAGGCTTTTACTGGACTATTGTTGTTGTTCATTTGCTCAGCCATGTCTGACTCTTTGCAGCCCGTGGACAGCAGCACACCAGGCTTCCTGTCCTTCAGCATCTCCTGGACTTTGCTCAACCTCATGTCCATTGAGTTGGTGATGCCATCCAACCATCTCATCCTCTGTCGTCCCCTTCTCCTCCTGCTTTCAATCTTTCCCAGCATCAGGGTCTTTTCTAATGAGGCAGCTCTTCGTGTTAGGTTTTGGAGCTAAGTATTGGAGCTTCAGCTTCAGCATCAGTCCTTCCAATGAATATTCAGGATTGATTTCCTTTAGGATAGACTGGTTTGATCTTCTTGCTCTCCAAGGGACTCTCTAGAGTCTTTTGCAACGTCACAGTTCAAAAGCATCAGTTCTTCAGCACTCAGCCATCTTTATGTCCAACTCTCACATCCATACATGACTACGGGAAAAACCATAGCTTTGACTAAATGGACCTTTGTCCATTTACATTTGGCAAAGTAATGTCTCTGCTTTTTAATATGCTGTGTAGGTTTGTCATAGCTTTTCTTCCAAGGAGCCAAGTGTCTTTTAATTTCATGGCTGCAGTCACCATCTGCAGTGATTTTGGAGCCCCCAAAAATAAAGTCTGTCACTGTTCCCATTGTTTCCCTATCTATTTGCCATGAAATGATGGGACCAGATGCCATGATCTTCCTTTTTTGAATGTTGAGTTTTAAGCCAGCTTTTTCACTCTTCTCTTTCACCTTCATCAGGAGGCTCTTTAGTTCTTCTTTGCTTTCTGCTACAAGGGTGGTCTCATCTGCCTGGCAGAGTTTATTGAAATTTCTCCCAGCAATCCTGATCCCAGCTTGTGCTTCATCCAGCCTGGCATTTCACATGATTGTACTCTGCATAGAAGTTAAATGAGCAGGGTAACAATATACAGCATTGACATACTCTTTTCCCAATTTTGAACCAGTCTGTTGTTCCATGTCCAGGTCTGACTGTTGCTTCTTGACCTGGATGCAGATTTCTCAGGAGGAAGGTAGTCGGTCTGGTATTTCTATCTTGAAGAATTTTCCACAGTTTATTGTGATCCAAACAGTCAAAGGCTTTAGCATAGTTAATGAAGCAGAAGTATTTTTTCTGGAATTCTCTTCCTTTTTCTGTGATCCAGCGGATGTTGGCAATTTGATGTCTGGTTCCTCTGCCTTTTCTAAATCCAGCTTGAACATCTAGAAGTTCTCGGTTCATGTGCTGTTGAAGCCTAGCTTGGAGAATTTTAAGTATTACTTTGCTAGCCTGTGGAATGAGTGCAATGGTGTGGTAGTTTGAACATTCTTTGGCATTGCTCTTCTTGGGATTCTTCTTGGGATTGGAATGAAAACTGACCTTTTCCAGCCCTGTGGCCACTGCTGAGTTTTCCAAATTTGCTGGCATATTGAGTGCAGCACTTTCACAGCATTGTCTTGTAGGATTTGAAATAACTCAGCTGGAATTCCATCACCTCCACTAGTTTTGTTTATAGTAGTAATGCTTCCAAAGGCCCACTTGACTTCGCACTCCCAAGATGTCTGGCTCTAGGTGAGTGAAACACCATCGTGGTTAACACCATCGTGGTTATCTGGGTCATTAAGGTCTTTTGTACAGTTCTTCTATGTATTCTTTTCACCTCTTCTTAATACCTTCTGCTTCTGTTAAGTCCATACCATTTCTGTCCTTTATTGTGCCCATCTTTGCATGAAATGTTCCCTTGGTATCTCTAATTTTCTTGAAGACATCTCTAGTCTTTCCCATTCTATTGTTTTCCTCTATTTCTTTGCATTGTTCGCTTAGGAAGCCTTTCTTATCTCTCCTTAACTATTCTTTGGAATTCTGCATTCAGATGGGTATATCTACCAAGAAAAAAATACAGGCTTTTACAGTTACACTGTTTTAAGGCAAAGAATATGGGATGAATGTGTCATGGTATGTCAAATCTAAGCTGACAGTAAAGCTGAAATCATTCTGATACATATGTAAGAACATTCTTCTTCAAAGGATTGATAAGGAAAAATTTGTAACTGAACTGATTATCAAGAGATTTTATATAGCTACATTGTTTTTCTGATTTCTATTAATTTTGTAGTATTGAATTATAACATTTATTTTATTCTTTTTTTTAAAATCAGGTATTTACAAATGTACATTTACCCATAAGAAGTTGGGAATCACCAAAGAGCAGCTGGCTGGAAAAGTATTGCCTCATCTGATTCCCCTGAGTATTGAAAACAATCTTAATCTCAATCAGGTAGGAATATTTTTGTGCTTTATTCTGCTTACTCTTTTATCGGCATTGAATGTATAAATATATTACATATAAACATTGGTAAAACAAGGAAAAATATGTTGAAGAGGTATATGAAGAAAGTGCTTTTTGCATTCAAAGTAAGGAGTATGTTAGTTAGAAAGAGGGATTATTGAAAGCCTTGTTCCGTCATTCAGTTAAGTTGCTCAGTCGTGTCCAACCCTTTGCGACCCCATGAACTGCAGTACGCCAGGCTTCCCTGTCCATCACCAACTCTGGAACTTGCTCAAATTCATGTCCATTGAGTCATCCAACCGTATCTCGTCCTCTGTTGCCACTTCCTCTCCTGCTTTCAGTCTTTCCCAGCATCAGAGTCTTTTCCAGTGAGTCAGTTCTTCGAATCAGGTGGCCAAAGTATTGGAGTTTCAGCTTCAACATCAGTCCTTTCAGTGAATATTCAGGACTGATTTCCTTTAGGATGGACTGGTTGATTTCCTTGCAGTCCACAGGACTCTTAAAGAGTCTTCTCCAACACCACAGTTCAAAAACATCAATTCTTCGGCTCTCAGCTTTCTTTATAGTCCAACTCTTACATTTGTATATGACTACTGGATTTGGGGAGGGAAGAAAGTAGTTTCTAGAGTCTTCCTGTAATATGTGGTATTACTGAAATAAGTTGTTTCTGAAGTACCATAAAAATTATTTAACTAAATTTTAACTAAAACTTGAACTATGTTTAGACATTGAGTTGGGCATTCTTATGAACTTCAATTATTTGTAAGTTAGATTATGTATATCTAATATTTCTACTAGCTTTTTAGAAAACAAGGTTTATTTTAGCCAAGCATGTCATTTTTATAATGATCTGAATAAAGAGTAATTTTTTATGCATCGTTAAACAGATTGTGGGCTTCCCAGGTGGTGCTAATGGTAAAGAACCCATCTGCCAAGCAGGAGATATAAGAGATGTGGGTTTAATCCCTAGGTTGGGAAGGTGCCCTGAAGGAGGGCATGGGAACCCACTGCAGTATTTTTGCCTGTTAAATTCCATGGACAGAGGAGCTGGCGAGCTGCAGTCTGTGGGGTTGCAAAGTGTCAGACACAACTGAAGCAACTTAACATGCACACATGCACGCAGATTGTGTTCAGATATGCACATATTAGGTGGTCAGTTTTGGATTAGTCTAAAAAAAATCAATGTGTAATAATTGGTGAAGTTGAATTTATTTAAGACTGCTGACTAATAATAGCTGTTAGACAGCTCAGAATATAAAACTTATTGTGAAATGTTTTCTGGAACTTAAAATATCACCAGTGTACAAAGATACTGTAAAAGCTTGCTATGATATTCTGAGCTAAAATATGTATAATCTATTCTTGTGTCATCAGATCTATGGATCATATTCTGGTAAAAATAGAGAATATTATGAATAACTTGTTGAATTTTTTTATCAGATTACTTTGTTGCTCACTTGAAACATTATAACTATATCAATTTCTTATTATACCAGTTCAATTCTTTCATTTCCGTCATAAAAGAGATGCTTAATAGATTGGAGTCAGAACATAAGACTAAACTGGAGCAACTTCATATAATGCAAGAACAGCAGAAGTAAGTAGGTTGAATATGAATTGCACATGGTCCAGGAGTGACATTAAAGTTATGTCATGGCTGATTTCCTAGAATATGGATGAGAAAACCTGAAGGATTTCAATTTGACTATATGTATGTAAAGCATGTAAAAATTTTTCAGCAGATTAAGTTAAACTGAGTTTAAATAGAATGTTGTTGAAAATCTGATGTTATTTCTAAATTCAAAAGCATAACATGATATAATCTTAATGTTTTCTCTACATAATGAAAATTCTGTTTCTGAGAAAAATCTCTTGTCATATTAGCCACCAGCATTGTAAAGTCAGGGTGCTGATCATCAAGAGCACCACTTAAAAGTTTTTTTCAAATCTGTGAAATATTGGTGTTTTGATGTCTCCCTTTCTCTTTTATCTAACCTTTGAAACATTTACAGAGAATTCATTCCATGTGTGGTACCACAGCATCCACCTCTTTTTTGTGTGTGTCTTATAGAGAGGATTTTCTAAATTATTTGCAAAATACTAGTATACAAAGAATGAGGGGGAAGATGAAAATTATTCAATAGAAAATGCCAGTTTTATGATTAAATCTTCACTATATTCTTTGCTCCAAAGAAAAACACATGAGTTTAGAATGCCCATTAATGTTTAATCCTGAGCCAAAGACATCTGAAAATCAGTAAAATTGATACTAGTCACAAGCCAGATCCTCCAAAAGAAGCTTTTTTGGTCTTGCTCCAGTGTAAGATAAAGGCTTTATGAAAGTAAATACCAAATTGTAGAAAGACATGAAGTAGGCATTTGTATATGCTAAATATTCTGTGAGATACATACATCTGTACATACCGTGTGTGTGTGTGTGTGTGTGTGTATGTGTGTGTGTGTGTATATATATATATATATATATATATATGCTGTTAATGGTTTGACTTATGTTGGCATAGGAACTCTGAAAATCTTTAAAAATTACAACAGAGAAATTTTCTATGCAGTGTTTATACTTGATGAGCCTTCTTTTTTTTCTTCCTATCTAAATAAATCTTACCTGTTTTTCAAGGCATAGATCTTGCCTACATCTTTCATTCAGTGATTATAGAATTTATTGTTAGAAGCTTAGATTCTGAACTTAACCTTGTTAAGTTCCCATATTGAATCTTGTCTCTCAGTAAGCTCTGAACTCTCATAATGGTAGGAACCGTCCTTGCATGATTTTATGACACCCTGAGTAAATTCACCAGTCAATCTCAAATGTTTAGTTTTTAAAAAAGACTTGTATACAAATGTTACTTGTAGGGGCAGGCAGACACTAATAGTAGTAAATAATGAAAAAGATTATGACTCTCCTTAATGAAGTTGCAGTTTGTTTAGGTTGTAATAAATTCTATGGGTGAACTATTTTTAGGACAGGTATTTTAAAAACATTTCTTTTTATAACTTTGTCATAACTCATCTCTTTCTTGCAGATCTTTGGATATAGGAAATCAAATGAATGCTTCTGAGGAGACAAAAGTTACAAATGTTGGGTCTCAGGTAAGAAGATATTTAGATTATTCTAATTTTGGGGGGAGAAAAGTGCTTGACAGTGTGCTCCATTTCTGAAGCGTCTGATCTTTAAGTAGTCAAGTTTTGCGCGTTGTTCAACTAGTTGATTTTTTTCTGTTTCAGCAGATTGACAAAGTCTTTAACAACATCGGCGCAGACCTTCTGACTGGTGGTGAATCCGAAAATAAAGAGGATGGGTTACAGAATAAACAAAAAAGAGTAAGTTTCTTTACTGTTCTTTTGACATTCATATTTATATTATATGACTTCTATAAACCATAAATTTTTTGTTGAGAAATACTATTTAGCTTAATAGAAACATTCTTTAATTATCTTTATGAAATTGAAAAGTTATCAGTAGATCATGACCTAACCCATGTTGAGAATAAACATGCTTAATATTTTTAACTTCCTTTATTATTCATTCTCCCACACTGGTAATGTTTCTAGGTTGCCTGACTTCTTGTCCTTTCTATTGTACTTTGCCAGTCACATCCCTTGATAAATTCTACAGTGTCTCTTCTCTGCTCCTGATTTTGAATAATAAACTATAAAACTATAGTTTCCACTATAGTTTCCAGTTGAAATATTGGTTAGCACCCAATATAAAAAATATATCCACTTTGAATTTCGCTAAGGGCAGTTTTCTTCTATTCATTCAACATGTATGAGGACCTGTATGTGTAGAACCAAGACACTGGTTTACAGAATTGTAAGAGGACATTCTGTGGGCTTAAAGGTTGGCAAAGTAGATTTAAGAAAAAAGACACTGAATTTGATGCAGACATTAGTATCAAAAATGTTCGTTCATGTTCTTTTAAAAAAGTTGTTTAATTCTTAGCTTTTGATGAGTTCTTAAAATATTTTTTGGAGTAAGATAAAAACAGCTGAACAGGAATCTCCCAATTTTATAGCTAATTCATGTTGTATAGCAGAAACTAATGGAACATTGTAAAGCAATTATCCTCCAATTAAAAAAAAAATGAAAGGTATATATTGAAAAAGGAAAAAACCAAATAGGAAACCCACAAAACTAACGTGTAACTGACTTTAGTTATACTACTGTGGCAGTCACCAATACAGTCGTTCGTAAACTACTTGGTATTGTCAAGTATTGTCAAATGGTATTGTCAAACATACAAAAAAGCAACGTTCTGGTTTACAAATGAAATTATGAAAGTTGTCAGTTAACTTTTTTTTGCTGTTGTTTTGTTTTAAGGCATCACTTACACTCGAAGAAAAACAAAAATTAGCAAAAGAACAGGAACAGGCACAGAAGTTGAAAAGCCAGCAGCCTCTTAAACCTCAAGTTCACACAACTATTGCTCCAGTCAAGCAGGTCAGAGTTCATTTTTTGTGTGTAATTCAAGCATACTACTCTTAAGGAGTAAGGTAGTATAGAACCTAGTCTACCTACTAGTGTTTTATGAAAATGTATTTCAGAGAATACTTTAATGTGTAATTTCTAAGAAGTATGGGCATAAAGGATTTTCCAGCAACTCCTCAATAACCTACCTAATGTATGATGTTTTGTGATAGTGCTTATTGCCAATAAAGAAGAAGCTAGATTAATGGGATGGTTCTTTAAAAATAATAGGTCTATGATACTAATTCAACTCTGCTCACTTTGAATTGATCAGGAATATTATGTTCATGCATTTATGTATTTTTGGGCAAGAAATAATTTTCATAGTCATGTTTGTAACTTGATTTAGGGATTCTTACCTATGTGTCTTGACCAGTATTTATTTCCTTCTATGTTTCAGGCACCGTTTTAGGTGCTGGTTTAAGGACAGTGATCAAGTTCTCTGCTTGGAGAAAGTTTACACTGTTACTGGTTTCAGAAATAACTTTATCTTAAAAGCTTTCTTTAAATTATTTTTGTTGTTGTTGTCTCCTAATCATTAAACTTTTCCCTCTGGGAAAAATTTTTGTGGGCCAATAGGCAAAATAAAGTATTTTGTAGGTACTTAAAGAAATTTAGAAAACTAAATTTCCACACAATTGTGATGAAAGTCAAAATACAAAAATAATAAAGGATCCTTTTCTGTGGGGCTTCCCTGGTTGCTCACTGATAAGGAATATGCCTGCCAAGGCAGGAGACCCAGGTTCTATCCCTGGGTTGGGAAGATCCCATGGAGAAGGAAATGGCAGCCTGCTCCAGTGTTCTTGCCTGGGAAATCCCACAGAGCCTGGCAGGCTACAGTCCGTGGGGTTGCAAAAGAGGCATGCAACTTAGCGACTAAACAGCAACAACATCCTTTTCTATAATACAGGTCTAATGAGAAAAATGCAATTCTGCTTTTTGGTGGAGGCACAGTGGGGGAGACAACATTTCATTTAATTGGAGTTCAAAGTTTTGTTTCCTGTCATCAAATCGTTGCAAATGTTCATCTTTAAAGAGCCTTAAGTATGTGGCAAACTGGGTTTGGCCTGTGAGCTGTGTAGTTTGCTGTCTCAGTGTAGACGAGCTTAATTTTAACTTGTCATTTATAATAAAACTTATCAAGCGTTTTACTAATTTTAAAGTAATTTGGAGTAAAGTAATTTCCTTGTATTTTTCAGACTAAGGACCTGACAGACACGTTGATGGATAACATGTCATCTTTGACCAGTCTTTCTGTTAGCACCCCTAAAATTTCTGCTTCAAGTTCCTTCACTTCTGTTCCTTCCACGGGCCTTGGCATGATGTTTTCTACACCAATTGACAATACAAAGAGAAATTTAACAAATGGCCTGAATGCTAACATGGGCTTTCAGACTTCAGGATTCAACATGCCAGTTAATACAAACCAGAACTTCTTCAGTAGTCCAAGCACACCCGGAGTGAGCAAGATGACTCTGGGAGCACCTTCCACCTTGCCAAACTTCAGCGCTGTGAGTGTTCCTCCTGCAGGGGGAAAGCAGACTCAGCAAAGACCCACAGATATGTCTGCTCTTAATAATCTCTTTGGCCCTCAGAAACCCAAAGTTAGCATGAACCAGTTATCACAACAGAAACCAAATCAGTGGCTTAATCAGTTTGTACCTCCTCAAGGGTCTCCAGGTATGGGCAGTTCAGTAATGGGAACACAGGTGAACGTGATGGGACAATCTGCCTTCGGAATGCAGGCTAATCCTTTCTTTAACCCACAGAACTTTGCACAGCCGCCAACTACTATGACCAGTAGCAGTTCAGCTAGCAATGATTTAAAAGATCTTTTTGGGTGAGGTGTCATGCTCCTATTTTTGAAGGATTACTTCAGTTTTAATCATGGGTAAGCTGATTTACATCTTTATGTAGCTGGCTTAGAGGAAGTACTTCTATGGGAGAGTGGTCCTGTGATGGGGAAAAAAAAAACCTGTTTTCATGCCAGCATAGTAGTTGTATGGACTCCTAACAGTTGAGGTTTTTAAAGCATTGAGGATTTTTTTTCCTCTTACCAACTCCTCTTCAGGTTTTTAAAAGACCCAACCCATATCAATCTCAATGAGAAAAAAAAGATACCTGAGTATCTTGAATAGCAGAATTTTTAAATCAAATGTTTATTTTGGCTTGTATATCTTGGTGTTATTTTAAAAGTTGAGTTGATGGTAATTGCAGGTTTCATCTGTTAAATATACATGGTACACAGTCTACCTTCACAAGTCATTAGTCTTCATTTTAAATATGTGAAAAATCTTGATGCTGTATTGATTTGTTTGCATTTAGTACAACTGAGAAAATGATACACATAATGAAAAGGATCAGGTCATTTGCTTTTCCAATCTTATTACTTCTCAGATGAACTAATGTTTAGTACAAAAGGCTGAGCAAATACTGCAAAATTTAATTTAACCTTCATTTCATTGGTTCAAACTAAAGGCATTATCAACTATCATAAATGCAAACTGATCATTGTAAATTATTTTTTAGCATGGTCTGCCTCAAGTAGTAGTGTATTTTTCTCCGTTTTCTTGGATATGTTTCGAGTCCTGTTTTTTCCTCCTGTGTCACAGACAGAAGAGGCATGTACGGATTTGTACAGGTATTTGACAAAGCCCTCTCTGCTTTTTCCTGATTGCTGCCTTCATGCTTCATTTTGAATTCAAACTTCAGAGGTTGCAGCATATATGAATTGCATTTTCAAAAGGAGATTTGTAAGAATTAAACTATATTTAATGAGTAAACTTTTGAGATTTCTGCTGTATTGTTTCAAATGTAATAAACTTTACTTCTCTAAAAATGAGCACTTGTATCTTCTGGCTGCTAACAGATTAATTTTCAGCTTGTTAAGTGTGACCTCATCACTTACTGCATCTGAAGTTTAATTATTTTCTCGGAATTTTAGGGTCTTTCATTCAAACATTTTTATGTTCATAATTAGCCATTTTTAGGAAGAAAAAGGATAAATTCTTCTAACATGAAACATGCTTTCTTTTTCAAGGCCTTTCTCTGATGTTTTTCTTTGATTAGCTAGTAACTGTGGAGTCTTATGCCATAGATGTCATTTGTATTTTGTTAAGTTATATTCCATCATTATAACTTTAAGCTGATCTTTCAGAGAACTATAATGTATTATATTGTAACTGCTGCCATAGAGTTGTGGATTTTAATTATCAGAAACCAGCAATCATTTAAAATAAATCCTATGAACTTTACTGTGCTGACGCTACATTTATTCATTGAAAAACTATATATCCTCACATTGAACCGTATACTACTTAATTACAAGATATAATTTGATAATATTGCTGGCAGCATTCAGTAAGAAGGTATTTAAAAAAATAAAAAGTCAGCTTTATGTCTGTTTTTTCTTCGAGTGGTACTTTTTACATGGTTTCAGGAAAGGGCTCAGGAATGCCGAAGAAACTTACCAAGAAGTGAAAAGCACTAGGAAGATCAAATTTTTTTGGCAAATGCATTCACACCAGATTGTGTCTTATTTGTAACACAGTATCTATCTTGAGAAAAGTTTACATAAGGAATTAAATTGCGTAATGTTGAAAAAATTTTCTTAGTAATGATTCAGTAGTCACTGTTCTTTAGGAAGCTGCGTTTTATTTTGTAAAATAACTTTATGTCAGTGTTATTTTCTTATTTCCTAATAAGAAAATTTACTATATAATTTGAAAGTCTAAATATAAACACAGATTATTTGAGAAATATTTGTGATTCTTAGGTAATTTCCACATCTTGAAATTTGTTCATTCATTGAGGTAATGGTGCTATATTTTTAGAAAATTTTCTATATGTTTTTCCTCCTTTCTTGAAGGTATTTTGTTTAAGTCATTTCTATCACTTGAACTCTTACCATTGCCTTTTTCTGTTATGAAATTGCCTCTAAAAATAGTGCTGTTTTTAGGCTTGTATTTCTATGTGAACAAAATTTTCAAAGTATTGGATTACCTTAAAATTATTTCAGATATTGACAGCATTTAAGTCCCTTGTGCATAGAGTAGAAAATTGGTAGTTAAAAAGCACCTGTCTCCAAAAATTACAAAAGAGATTCCCTTGATTTGAATTGGTTCTTGATTCTCCTAATGCTAAAGTGTGTGGTGTATTTGGAGGATGCATAAAAGGAAATGGAAATAGACTATGTACTTGGCTGGAGTTTGTTTGTTTAATTTTATTTTTATTTGGGGACACATCTAACCTTTCATGTGAATAAGTTAAGGACATAGGTTTTTGCTATTTTTTTCAACCTGTAAAATACCTCACTCGGTTGCTTTTACATATTAAAGGAAAAGGTATATGTGAAAGTACCTGATAGCAAGCACAGAGTATGCACCAAATAAATTTCAGCGTTTGTAAAACTTTCTATATTAAGTTGTAATTTCATGCTTTGTTATTTACTGGTCTTGAAATAATTTTAGAACAGAACAAGTTATATGAATTCAAACAGTATAGGATTTTAAGAGATTATGTGTCTGGCTCTCAAACTATTACTGTGACAGTAAGAAATATATCTTAACATTACAAACCCAGTATATGAGATTTATATCTGAAACAAAAGTTTCATAAAACCTTTAACACATATAGTGTATTATTATTATTCTATCCTATTAATTTTTTAAAATCTGGTTATAATCCCTAAAAGGATTTCATGATGTCATTTGGGTAAAACTGAAATAATTCATTGCTGTCTCTCCAAGCAGGTGTAGGGGAAAGAGGATCGGAGATTTACATGGCCTAACCGAGAAGGTTAGAGCCAGAAATAGAAGCTAGATTTTCTTTTTTTCGCTAATCTGCAGTCCAGTGCTTTTTATCATAGTGGCATCCTTTATATCCTTTATTATATGAATTCTGGAGTTGCTTTTGTCAAAATGGTTAAATATAGTGAGTGCTATGTGTTCAGTACTTATTTGGTACCATAAATATGTTTATGTTGGAAAAATTGGTGTTGCAGTGGGAGATGGAGGTGATAGACTAGAAATGCTCAAAATCAACCTTTGGGCTTTTTCTGTGAATTATGGATGAGAATGGTTGGGGGAGGCAGGTCAGCAGTGCTTGCAGTACCCAGGCGTGTGTTAATAATAGAATTAAAGCATGCGATTTTGGTTGAGGAGGAAGCAGTATGGTAGAAAAAGCCATTTTACCATACTGGAGCTTGTTAGATATTATTGATGGTGGAGGAAATGGCAGCCCATTCCAGTATTCTTGCTGGGATACTCCCATGGACAGAGGAGCCTGGCAGGCTATGGTCCATGGGGTCACAAAGAGTTGAAAATAGCTGAGCACAGCACACACACAGGTATTGTTGATGGAAAGCTTTATCCAAAGCAGCCAAGCTGCTCCAACCTCACAGAGAGGATTTAACTATGTGGAATGCAGAACACATAAGTAATTTAAAATTTCCTAGTAACCACATTAAAAAGTAAAAATAGATGAAGTTAATTGTAATATATTTTGTTTAACTTAATAGAGCCAAAATACCTCTTCAACATGAATTGATAGAAAATTTAATATTTTAATCAATAGAAAATGTAATGATCTATTCTTTTTTGTACCTCGTCTTGAGAGCCAGTGTATATTTTACACTTGGGACATCTCAATTCAGGCTAGTCACATTTTGAGCACTTAGTAACCACGTGTGACTAGTAGCTCCTGTGTTAGTATAGGTATACATGAAGGTAAGAAGACAAAAGAGTGAACTATAGCAGTTATCACCTTACTGTTGATATCAACTCCCAGCTCCAAATCCATCCTTCTCTGCCCTGCTTTGTGATACTGGACCCTATAAACATGTCTCCCTTTGCCAGCCTGGCAGAATGTTAGGCTTCATCGATGAGGATCCTGTCCTAAAGTGGCGCTGCAAAGCAGTAGCAGCGTGAAGTCCCTTCTGGATTCCGGTTCTCCTTCTGTAGTCACCCCAGGAACCCAGCAGCCCAAGCAGCAGAGCCGCAGCTGTGCCTCAGGCACAGGTCCCACTTGGGAGGCGCTCCAGGGGGCTGCTTTCAGCCTCTTCCTCAAGCAGCTGTCTCCCGTCCTGGCCCTCTGACAGTTTCTTCACTACCGGAGGTGTGGGCGGCGGTGGTTGCTGAATGTTCCTGTGGAAGCCACGCCTTCACTGAAGAAGTCCTATGCTCAGTTTGAGTGGTCGGGGTGGAGAGGAAAGCCTCTCCTAGTCTTTAGTTCCTTAATTCTTTTTCCTTTTTCCCAGCCTAGAGGTAGTACCTTTTTTTTTGGGGGGGGGGGGGGCACTGCTACTTTTGAACTCCTTAAGAATGCCTTTTTTAAAACTTAAAATAGCCACTTTCTACTAATTAACAATGATTTCATTAAAATTTCCTTATTTAAATGTCTGCTTTTGTCTCCTATCCTCATCTTCACTGATAAGACCCCTCAATCTGTTAAGCCATTTGAAAATGGGGCCACAGGATTTGTACTGGTGCTAACAAAAGCTATAGGGAATTGTATATATATAGCCTATATTAAAACTTTGAATGTTCTTTTGAAATGTGCCTTGAGTGGAAATATGATTTACCTACTCTATACCTATTTGATACAGTTCTAACTTTCTTTTTTTTCCCTCCTGTTTTTTAGACCTACACTCTTCGTGGTGGCCTTGGTTGTGATGAAAACCTTTGTTTGGCTTTCATATAAAAGTAAATGAGATTGAGAGCCTAATGTCCCAAGTTCAAATGTAGGAATCAACATTCATACAGGCCCTTTCTGGGTTCCTGCCAGTCTTTCTAAATGCAGTGATCAAACCAAAGTCAAATATGGGCCATGTCCACGGGCACATTAG